GGGTGTGTAAGCAGGTGAAAAGAAAAAGGAATCCCATACTATTTTTATGGTACATCCATTTAGAAGATGGAGTCTTTCATTGTAAAGAATCAAAGTTTAGCCTAATGTTAAAAGAAAATAGATTTATAAAATTCTAGCCATAATTTAAAGTATAACAAAGAAAAAAATGTTTAAGTTTATAAAAATATACTTTTAAAACTTTTTTTAACACTTTTCCTTTAAGATTTCTAAATAAATTTCTTTTTTGACTGGAAGTTTAACAATTTTACTAAACAAAGTAGTATTATTTTATTTGTGATGAATTTAATACAAACTCATTTCTGAAAATCATTAACAACATTATAATTGTAATAATAATGAAGGAATTGTAATTAAAATAGTATAATTATATTGGGCGGTTTAGATCACCAACAATTTAATTTCAAAATATCAATCTTATCTGGCTCCATATTGAAAAAAAAAAAAAAAAAAAAAAAAAAAAAAAGATAATGCAGAAAATTTTTTCAATGTTTAGAAATCAAATATAAAAATACAGTTAATTTTAAGAGCAGAAAATTTTGGAGCCCAATTTAGTTTATGGTATTAGTTTGAATTAATGAATTTTAAACATTCAGTTTATAAAACTGGCTGTATGTGAATCTACGCATCTCTAAGATGCTTCAACTGAAATTGGCGTACAATCTATGAAGCAGCAATTTTCTTTTTTTTATGACACAAAACAGTTTTCACATGTATTCAAACATATATATATATATATAATGTGTGTAAAAATGAGGTGAGAAAAAAAAAAACACCTACAAATTCTGAAACCTGTGTGTAGGATAGGTTAATATGCAGGAAGTCAGTGAAAGACTTGCTCAAGGTTTGCAAATAGCTGTGGATGCTTCTTACCAGCAGCCAACCAAGAGAAATTTTCCATTTATCCTACGTCATTTGATAAATATAATTGTTTCATGACAACTTCATTTTCTTTCTACTCTAGAAGTATATGAACATTAAAATTAGGACTCATTCATTTTTTTTTTTTTATAATAGTTACAGCAAATACAGCTTAGAAAATCTTGACCTTTCACATCCCATTAACAAACTCTTTCACAACAAGTCAGAATAACTTACAACCCGCTGGGACTGACAGATAAGTACATTTGTAAACATGAAATTCAGAGATTTCTGCATCTAATCAATACATTGGATTCCTAAAGGAAATCGGTCCGCTTTATTGTAGGAGGTCGGTTTAAAAATTAATTTCTTTTTTGTGTGTTGCTTTATGTTTTAGCTATTTATGTTTTAGCCTTCTTCAGGTGTCTTTTTGTTCTGGAATATCATCAATTCAGTTCCTCTCTGATGTATGTCACATCCAGTGTCAGTGTGCTTGTTTTTGGAATCATCTTCTGACTTCTGTACATAGATGATGATGATGCTGCTGCTCCAATAAACCCATCAAAGTTTGCCAGGAGGAAAAAAAAAACAACCACAGACAATGATTAAAAGACTTTGTCCAAATCAGACAAAACAAGAAATTATTCAAAAAAAAAAAAAAAAAAAAAAAAAAAAAAAAAAAATGAATCCATTACATTATAAAAAGATTAACTTTGTGAGAGAGATGCCAGAAATGTTCACTCACGGTTGAAACAGAAGTTTTAGAAATGGCACAAAAGCTGGTTAGAGAAAATATAGATACACTGCTAATAAACAGGACTTGATTCACAACCCAGTCGTGTATCCATTGATTATTAAATTGATGCAGAGTCAAGAATTCATACACACAGTTTTTCTTTTCAATATTCTCTCAAATAAATAATGGACAGTGTGAAGATCTTAGAATGATCATAAGAAAAAATAAAAATTAATTGCAAGTCAAAAGTTATCCATACTTTTGCCATACCACAACTTAATAGTGTGGATACTTTCCCTCTTGTGTGTGTGTGTGTTTTATATAAAATCTCAGTCACTGTTATTGCAAATCAGTAGTGTTTATGAATTTTACTCTTAGATGTTGACAAACCCCACAATGATTGGAGAAATAAGCACTACTTAGGCTAACTGGTCTGCATGTAAAAGTCAGGGAATATTTTTTTGGAATAATTTTTGGAGATTAGTATCCTTTAGACCTTTCTCTACCTATTTGTCAGAACCATAAAAAATATTGATTTCTCATTTCAGAAGTGGGGGTCCTGTTCACAATACAAATAGAGTGTTCAATCAATCCCCGATTTCTTAAAGAATTATCTGTACTTTGTTTTTACATTGATAACTGCGGATTATAAATCGAGGAAAATGATAACATCAATAGTACACAGTTATCAATGACATAAAGACAGTTTCAAATTATGTAAATAAAAACAAAATACAATTCATTCATTAAGTTAAGGATTGATTTAAGACTGTATTCACTGTAACAACTCCCTTCTAAAATGATAAAGATATCAATATTTTTTTTTATTCTGACAAATGTAAAAGGTCTAATAAATGCTAATCTTTTCTGTTAGAAAAGAAAAAAAAATTCCCTTAAGTACTTATTAACCTCAGTAGTGCTAAACAATATTAAAAAGAAATCTCTGAAGTATAAAATAATTTGCTTTGTTAAAGTAATTGCAATAAAGAAAATTTATCAAATAAGATGAATGTAATTGCAAACAACTCCAAAGACTAAGGCTTTAAATAATAATTAACATTCCTCACTTCATAAATTTTGTTGAAAGATTTTAAAATAACATCAAATGTAAAGGGTATTTAGACAGTAATTTTAGTCCCAGTAAATATCTACATGTGAAGTTCACAGAAGAAAAAGAAAATGAAGGAATTAAATAAATTTCAGAGATTTCTTTCTGAACAAAAAGAGATTAAAGTTAACATTTATCTGAGGAAGCAAAATGAGGTGTTACCCAAGTCTGTCTCGAATTAAATTTGAGCCAACCTCCATACAATCCAGTATATACCTCCATTTTAACCTTGCTGTGATTTTGAGAAAGCCTTATACACACAGCGGTCATAAGAAAATTTAAATAGAAACTTAACAAATGAGAGGTAATGTAATCTTATTTTCACCTGGCAACCTGAAATACTCAGATGTGCTGGCAAAAATATTGTAAAAGATTCTGGGAAGATTCCTTTACAATATAAATTTCCTGGATTGGACAAAATGTCTATGAATGTACATAAAGAATGTTGTCACAAAATAATTATATTGTTAAATACGCAATACGTTATGACAAAAATATTATTATTATATAAGGTAAGTGAAAAAAATTAAGTGAAATTTGTCTTTTTTGCTTTTTTTTTTTTTTTTTTAACTTGCATTCCAGTTCAATTTACAGGAAAGTAAAAAAAAATTTTTATCTTAAAAAGAAAGAAAAAAGTACAATTTAAAATATGTGTGTGTGTATATATATATATATATATATATATATATATATATATATATATAAAGTAGGAATCAGAAAATGGTTAATAAGGGACTTTTTCTTCTTTTCATAATTCTTTAACAAATGGCAAAAGAAAATGGTCTGTGATGTTTGAGGCCACTTCTTGCCTCAGCAGAGCCACAAAAAAAAAATCTAATGATCAAACTAACTTTTTTCCTTTTGGTAAAAAAAAATAAAAGATTTAAACTTTAAAAAAAATGTGGCAGATAGAAAAAAAAAAAAGAAAAAATCCCCACCACTATATTTGTTTTTTTTGTATTTTTAAATTTAATTTTCAGTTATTAATGTTCAAACATTTTTTTTCTCAGTTCCCTCAGGAATTAAAAAAAAAAAAAAAAAAAAAAAGTTTCCTCGCTCAAGAATTCATTTTGACTAATAGCCACATTCTCTTCAAGTTTTCAGTCAACAAGAATCTCCTTTCACATCTATCATACTTCATTCAATAAACATTATAAAAATTCTCACCAATGCATATAAGGTCATCATTGATAATGTCAGAGGCCTTTCTATGACAAAACAAACCCACAAGCCTCGTGGTTAATTTTCTTATTATACAGAAGTTCTTAAAAGATGAAAATAAGTTTTCATTCCTCCAGGAGACTTTATTTTGATTGTGTAATCTGAAAAGTTATAAACAGCAATATCACATGATGTTTAAGTTCCTGAATTCTCAAGGCAAAGAGCCATTGCTGCTACAACCTGACCTAATCTGATTGCAACCACTACAACTACGATGACTACGATTACTCACATGCCCATTTGAGTGGAACTTTATCTGGTCTTTGTTTCGGATTTTTTTATTTTTTTTATTTTTTTTATTTATTGTATATCATGGATGTCTGCCATTTTGTTTCACAGCCGCCTGTTCTGCAACAGAAACTTGCCAAAAAGGATATGATCCTTGAAAAGTTTTTCAGATGTGAAATAAGACGCCTGAAGAGAATGGGTGAGTGGGCATACCAAAAATTAAACATGAAAGATGAGGATATTAGTCAAACAAATTAACCTTGGAGTGAATTACAATTAGAGAGAGAGAGAGAGAGAGAGATTTTGTATTGCTCCAGAATTTAGTTAGGGAAATGACCAAGAAATGAAAATTTTTTTTTGTTTTCTCTTTTTGTTTCAATCTTTTCTATTTTATTTTACAATAAAGATTTTTCATCTTCACCAAGCAAATATCCTTTCAACAATTTTTTTCTTTTTTTTTTTTTTAGTTTAAAAAGAATTAACTAAATGTAAAAAATAGAGACTTTTTTTTCAATTATTTTGTTCTGGGGGGGGGGGGAGTGGTAAGGTGGCGAGATAGATGAAGAAACAGAAAGTGGCTGGAACTTAAAGCTGCCCCACCGTCATCAAAAAGGCAACAAGTTGCCAGAGTCTTGTTTGTGGCACCTAGTCAGACACAAATATATATATATATATATATATATATATATATATAAAAAAAGAGGAGCGGGTGGTATCTCCACCCAAGCAGTACAAAGTGTACCAGCAGTTGTCCACACTCCACAGCCAACAGGAGGGGAAAGAAATCATTTTTTTTCTTTTTCATATTTTTTTTTTATTTTTCTGTTTTTAGTGGCTATCCAGGGCTCGAAGGAATTTGTCATCAACTAAGAAGGGGATGAGTTTGTGTCTGCAAAAAAAAAAAAAAAAAAAAAAATTCAAAAAAACACAAATAAAAATTTATACAATTACTGAGAGTGGGGAAAGAAACAAGCATAGCATTTTTGCTGGAATTTGAGATGAAAATTGCATTCACTCGAGTAAAGCATAAATCCATCTTTCCCCACTAGCTAGGGTAAAGTGGGCTCTCTAGTCTTGGATGGAAACCAGTCTAATAGAAGAAAACTTTGTGGGGAAGGTAACAGAAAACCACTTCACTATTTTCCCAAAGAAGCCATACCACAGATAAAGAAATCTTATTACCTATGTCTTAAAGAAAAATAAAGAGGTCTTATCTTAGTTGCTATATTCACATTTGTGTTTCTGTACTCTTTGACCTTCTTAGATAACCAGGGAATTTTAAGCCAAACTAAAATTTTATAGGAAATCTCATGAATTAATTCTGTCAATTTTTCCTTGCCATGCTTAGTTGTCTGTCTGCCTTTGCCTGGTTCAATTCCTGGGTAAATTGAATAGACTTGTTCAGTAAAGCAAACAAATGTCCCCCAGGTACTGAAGTGACTGGAATTTGAACTCGGATCTCCAATTTCTCATTCCAAGCTTCTATCCATCACACTACCTGCACATCCACAGAGTGGTAAGAAAAAAATTAAAATAAAATTTGGATGCTAATGAAGTTAATTCAACAGGCATGGTCAGGGTTTACTTTGCATCTTCCAGTTTTCAAATAATCCATTTTACATCCTGTGGATAATTGCCCAAAGTTTTATTTTTGTTCAATTACTTCCATTATTAAGAACTGGGTGTTGCCAGCATGGTAGACAAGATTTTGTTGGCTACATCCTGACATTTTGTTTTGGACTGCTACAATTCAAATTTAACTCCAGTATATGCATATTGTATAAGTGACATCTTGTGTAAAGCAGTATTTTGTATAAATCAGATGAAGATTTATACTAATAGCAATAGTAGAAATTATTTTCTTAAAAATACTCTGTCTAACACTTTAGAATAGGACAATATACACTCAGTAGCAAAAATGATGGAATTAGCACTTAAAAGAATTTCATTTAACTTTAAAAAAACTGAATCACAGATAAAGTATAAAACATTTAATAGCTGAACATAAATGAAATTGCTTCATAAAACAGACTAAACAAGCTAGATTAAATCATTTAAATTAATGATATAATTTTTTTCTAAACCATGTAGAGGAAAATTTTATGAAATAACCCAATATTGAAGAAAAACTTATGGAATTCATTGCCAAGAAAATTAAAATTAATACTTAGTTACAACTTTGAGATTTTATGACAGATTGAATTCTTTCAAGTATGGATTTCACTAATTTAAAGCAATATTCTTCATCAATGTTGTTCTAAATTTCCTGAATTGCATTTAATAGATCTTTTGTGGCTGAAGCCTTCTCATGGACCATTTAAAAAATATTTTCCCCATAAATCTTCAATAGGATTTTGATCCAAACTGTTTGTTGTTCATTGATTTTTATGCATTTCCTTTGATCCCCTTTGCTCTGGAATAAGTTGCATTATTGTCCTGAAAATTAAAAAAAAAAAAAAAAAAAAGACTTCATCACCAAACCAATTTTCTATTGATGGAACGAGGGCATTATCCTGGATTTCAATGTACATTTTCCTTGGTTCTTTAAATGACATGCAACCCCATATCATGAATGACCTGTGAAATTAACTCATTTTCTTCAGGTAGTTATCTTTATGTGTTTCATTTGAAGAGTACCAGACCAAAGTCCCAGCATCGTTGCCTTGGCCATTGTAGATTCTTGATTCATCACTGAATATCATCCAATCATTCACACACCATGGCTGCTTCTCTTTAGCTTACTTTAACTACATTTCTTGCTTGTGCATTAATGATGGTTTTCATTTGGCTTTTCTATCAGTAAATTCCATTTCATTCCATCAATTTCTTACAGATATATCACAAACATTGTCATCTGTTTTGACCCATTTGCTTTCTTGTACATTTTCTATTATCAAGCCCATTATGCTTTGAGTTTTATATCCGGACCCTTTGACATCATTCACAGTCTACTAGTATGTTTTCTTTTTTCAACACATCCTGTTTCTTTTATATTTACACAAAATTTTAGTCCCAGTTGACTGGGAACAATCAACATCTTTTCGCCACACTCAACTGAAAAAGTTTTATTATCCTTTGCAGTGTTTCAATTAACAATTCTTTTGTTGGAGCCATTTCAATTAAGAAAAAAAATGATTGTTGATATCTGCAAGAACTCTTAACTGAAGACTGATTTGCATAGTTAGGCTACTCCTGGTATTTGTTTTAGAAATGCAAATTACAATATCATTCCATAATTTTTTCCCAAACATTGTGAGTAGGGAAATGGACAGAAACAAAAAAAAAAAAAAAAAAAAAAAAAAAAAAAAAAAAAAAAAAAAGAACAAATACTCATTTAATGACATGCAAGACCCACATTTCTTGTCAAATGCAGTGTGCGGTAGAAATAGCTCCCACATAATGGTAAGACATTAGCAAGGAGATGTCTTCAGTAGCTAATTTCTTACAATTATGTGGGAGATATTTCTGCTGCACCATATATTAGGCACTTTGGAGAGATTTGTTTTGGATGTTTGCCAAAGAGGGAATACAAATAAAGTTCAAATGACATACAATATACTAATCATCAGCAGTTTTTATTTATAACCCCTGCTGAAATTGGAGGTGGGGGAGGTTTGTGTTATATGCTTGTGGGTCTTCTATGCCATTTCATAGAGAATTTTTTAACCCTGCCGAGAATGGATACACTTACCTAATTGGAATCAGAGAAAAGATGAGCATCGGGAAGAACATTTTCAGGTAGGGAAAAGGGGCAAAACCAAATGCACACAGAACAATCAGTTGAAGAACTTGAAGTCCCGTGAACAAGTGGATTTTTCTTTGGGGCACTCGTCTGATATAATGGTTGGGCGGGTAGGCTGCCTAGAAATTCAAAGAGAATGCAGCAGATTAAAATTAACCAGGAGTCAAAGATAATGGAAGAGAAAAATGGTAGTTTAATAAGAAAGCTTCTATAATAAAGAAAAAAATAGATATTAAAATAAACTGCTTTCAGAGTTTTGCTTGTGTCACCTTGTTGGAAAAAAAAAAAAAAAAAAAAATTGGTGGACCAGATGGTAACCCCAACCAGCAGTTGTGCACACTCCACAATCAACAGAAAAAAAAAATCCTTTCCCCTCCTACCCTTTTCTATTTGCTGATCACCTAATTAAGACCTTCCCATATTCTAACTTTAGCATTAAGATCATTTGAAGCTTAAATCAGAATTAAATGGTTTGCGTGTATTTGTAAAAGATGTGCTATGAAAACTGGTGACATATGTGTTAATGTAAAAGACAGTTTTTTTATTTTTATTAAATGTAATCTTGTTCAAATAAATTCATAGCATCATTATTCAATTATCAAAGCATTTTTATTTTGACTTTCTATCATTTTACAACACCTTTCAGCATGAAACACAAAATCACATATGTACATCACACACAATGAAAATTTTTTTTTTTTTTTTATACTATGGTATTCACTCTGCACAAAAACTTGAGGGTTACAGGATAAGAGGCAAAGCTTATGTGGATATGTGGGGAAAATAACAGGCTAACCCAAGACTTGAACAAGTTAAGATTGGAGTGATCAAAGAAACACCCCCTTGAGAGTTGATTCCACAAAGTAGCAGTTTGTGGGAAGCTGCTGCTTGAGTAGAACTTACATCTCGTCAATGGAATATGAAAGGAATGAGTGTCGTTTGCAACAATGTAAGTCACATGGTAGGGCATAACCATGAGTGGAATTAAGGAGTGTAGTTTGAACACTTTCCATGGAAATAGTGATAGAGCTGCAAGAGACTTATGACGTTTCATTGGTGAGAAAGGGGTTATAGGGTGGAAAATAATTCATTGTCCACAAGGATCTTGTAAAAGTAGAGGCTAGCAGGAGAAGTCAGTTACTTAAAATATGAAAACAAACATACACACAGAGAAAAGGAAAACAAAACAATATGCCACATGTAAAACTTTTGATTACAACTATTTTCATGGGAAATAATCAGATGAACTACACCCCTTTAGTCTCAACAACACTCAGAGCTAAGACCTGCCATGTCACATACACCAAGGTGTACTGACTTAAGTGGATGATTTCCTGACCATTAAAATCTTAACTTGTTCAAGTCTAAGATTAACTGTTATCTTTCAAAACCTTGCCTCTTACCCATATCACTCAACAAATCTCCTTCAGTAACCCTTTGCCTTGAGTGGCTCTTGGGCCTTGTATAGGGGTAAACATTAGTATAAAAATTAAAGTCCCGCAATTCATAAAAATTCACTTCGAATTGAACACAGGATTTTTTCAATCGATTTTATTGAAACTGAAAAATTGAATATGCCTCGATATAAATTCCATTGTCTTCATTGCGAAAATCAATTTTGTTTTTCATCAACAACAATTTGGTCTAAAAATGACATTCTGTGTTGAACAGAAGAGAAAACAAAAATTTGGACGATGACAGTCCTTTTCCATAAGTTTGAGAAATCATTTTTTTTTTTTGAGCTGCAAATTTTCTCACACCGCTTTTAAATTGCATCTCATAGTTGATTGATTGTAATGAAAAGCCGTGTAAACTTCAAAGCCCTTTCTGTAACATTGGACAAATGACTGGTGAGAATTTTTGCATCAATTTAAAACTTTAGCATAAAACGGTCACCACAAGTTTAAGAATTTAACTCTTTTCTTTGAATCAGATTATATACAAAAAAAAAAAAAAAAAATCTGATAATACAAGTTTTTGATTTCTGTAAATAATTTAATCTGCATATTCCTTAACTTACTTTGTGTTTAAAAAAAAAAAAAAAAAAAAAAAAAAAAAATTGATCTAAACAATAGGAATGACTAATTCTTAAAAAAAAAAAAAAAATGTACAAAGTCAAATTAAAATGTTAAGAGTATTTTTTTTTTTTTTTAGAATTAAGAAACAAAAAGGAAAGAATGCCACAGAACACAAAACATGACACACACAAAAAAAAACAAACAGAACATGCCAGAAGAAGAGAGCCAAAAGATGAGAGAATAAACAAAAGGAGAAAAAAAATAAATACACAAAGATGAGACAGACAAACAAAGAACCTCACCAACCCTGACAAAATGCTTTTAAATGTTTAAAAATTTAAGATTCAATATTTCATTGTGTTGCAGATTGACATTTTCATTAATAAAAATCAATACAAGCAATAAAAATCAATACAAGCAATAAAAAATATTTAATTTTAAAAAATAAAATCATATTAAACATCAGTTGCAAGCCTAAATAGTTAACCTTTAGGAAAGAGAAGAGAGAGCAAATGAGCAAGAGTGTGTGTGTGTGAGAGAGAAAAACAAAATTTTACCTGCTCTTTGAAAAGTAAGGATATTCTTTCAAACATCTGATTGTCATAAAGAGCTGTGACAGCAACGTAGAGGAATAACCCATACAACACAGGAGTTGGGATGTATGCCAAGTAGCGCAGACCAAAGAGTGAAAATCCAATGGCAACATGAGAAATGATAGCAGTTAAGCGAGTCTCTCGGACATACACGATTCTGTAGTTTGAAAAAAAAAAAAAAAAAAAAGTTAAAAAAATGTATTCTTTTGAAGTAAAACAGTGCATATCGACACCACACTACATCCTCAAAACTAATAAAGCCTTATCCTAACAATTTGAACAAGGCCAGTATGCTCAAACTTTTGAACTCTTGTGGTATATCTCATATATATATATATATATATATATATATATATAAAATGCAATCCTAAGGTGGCAAAATAAAGATGTCTGCATTATATATATATATATATATATATATATATAAAGAACAATTTTGTAGGAAAGATGTATGACAAAGCAAAAAGGTTTTTGTAACATGTAAGAAAATGGTTTACTTCCTGGTAGAAGACAGATTTGAATGTGTCTTGCTTGTAAAGTATCCTAAAAAGAAAATGGTGACAAGTCATATATTTAAGAAAAAATAGATCTTGGAGTTGGATAAGACTTTTTTTTTTTTTGCACCCATGCAAATATGACCTGTCACTCAAGCTACAAAAAAGTACTTGACAAGGCAACAGGCAACAGAGTAGTGTGACTGTGGTAGCAAACAGGAGACACATGTGCTGGATTAATGGAGCATGAAAAAACTGACTACAGTTTTTGTGTTATGCATTTCAACCTCTAGCACTTCATCAGATTAAGGTTGTTTATGTTGAAGTGACTACACATGTGCATGAATGACAAACAACACATTAAACACATTAGTTGCCCACCCTAATGAGATATACCACAATTTTGATATTAAAAAAAAAAAATTCTCTAATTAAAAGTGAAAACAATTCCTTACGACAAAAGTGCTTTAATCCCTAGTTTATAAACAGTGGCAGATCTAATATCATAATCTGAGAAATCTAATAACAAAAGTGATAAAAACAAAAACAAAAGAATCTAAATTAAATTGGCTAGATTATATATTTAAAAAAAAAAAAAAAAAAAAATAAAGTGTCACAAAAACTTTTCCACTTTGTCATACACATTATGAAATGGACTAAGTTTGGCAATTATTTAATATATTTTCTGTTTATAAGTTATTTTAATAGATACAATTTATTTAAGTAAATGCTCAGTTTTTTTTAACAGCATTAATTACATTTACTGGCCTGAATGTTCAAGAAATTTCATAGAAACAGGAATTGAACCTTTGTCCTATACGACTTTGCTAACCAGATGCTTCTCTATAGCTAAGTACAAATTAATGTTTCTAAACAACAAATCTTCGATGATCTTTCCTGAAATGTTGGAGAACATATTTTCTATGAAATTTCTCAAACATTCAGTCCAGTAAATGTCATACTATTTAATTTATAAAAAAAAGAGCATTTACTTAAATTTTATCTATTAAAATAATGTCTAAACAGAATGAATATATCATGCAACTTTTGAAGAACTAATTTTGAAGCAAATTTGACTACAGTAAATGGATATAGTTTGGTCAATGGTGTATCCAGGGCTAGCAGTATATATAATGTTTTTTTATATCTTGTGTATGTGATCCCTTAAATTTAGCTTCAAAATTAGGTCTTTAAAAGTCACATGATAGATGAGTATATGCAGAGTGTGTGTGTGTGTGTATATATATATATATATATATATATATATATATATATGTGTGTGTGTGTGTAAGCATTCTCATAATTCCATGTGGGAGTGTAATTATACAACGGAACCTTCTTAGCTTTTTCACTGAAAAGACAATGAATTGCCATATTGCACCTCTATTTTTGTCAGTGAACCTAAAAACTGAGAAAAGTTCATTGCATGCTCACAAGCAAATGAAAAAAAAAAAAAAAGGTGAAAATAAATGGCAAAAAAAATGAAAATAAAATTTGTTTTTAGATTCACATTTAAAAATGTTTTGGGGGTGGAGAGAGGAGAGTTATTATTTTATTGGATATTTGTAAATATTTGTTGAATAAATGCAATTCTTCTCTACAACTCATTCCAAAACACTTTGAAAGTGGATGTACAAAAAAACAAAAAAGAACACATTCTCAAAGAAATTGCAAAGTTTATTTTTGTCTTTTTTTCTGGAACTTACCTCTGATAAACATGACCTTGCTCAACTCTCTCTTCAACATCTGCCAGTGCCAGAACATGCAATGGAGAATGAGGAAGTGCAGCATGCACCCAAGGAAAGGCAAACAAAGAGAGAATGCCATTGATGATACCAACCACAAAAAGGTCCCAGTGGTAGGCTGTACCTTTCTTCATTCTAGAACAACAATAAAAAGCACAATATCAACTGCATTTAAGAAATAGCATTTGTTTGAAAAATAAACCATGTAGATGGAAAGTTTAATTTCTCAGTGCCATCTTGGCTCAATATTAGAGAAATCTTAGAAGTGTCTCAAATTCAATTAACCCTTTATTGCTTTAATCTAAAGCCTGTCAAAGGGCATGTTAAAACAGGATCTTGCTCAATAACCTGAGTGACAGCACATCAACAGAAAAATGTTCACTAATGAGAAATTTCAATAAACTTAAATAATGCCTAAAAGTTAAATTTACTTGGCAAGAAGGGAAACAAGCTACCACCACTGCTTAGAACACATCCATTAAGCCAAGGAGCAGGAGTCTAATATCTTCAGAAATTTGTTAGCCAAGGATGATGAGTTCAATCCTAGGTAGGACCATAAGAGTCAGCCTAGTTAACAGGGCAGATGAACTGTTGGGTTAACTGCTATCTAGCACACTGGGATAGACTGGGCCCATAGCTATGCATGCAGTCAGTGCTGTGATGATAGTGTTGCTGGATAGAGGGTTATCTCGACTGAAGTCGAAAGCCATGGCAAAGGGGGTCCTCCAATGCAATTAATGACCATGTGCCTATGACCAAATGCAAGTTTCAAGTTGGAGGATATCAAATGTCGTTTCAACTGGACAGGGATGGACTATTGTCCAAGACATGCTATGCAAGAGTACCTCTCCGACTTTCAACCAAGATATGTGGAGAACATTGATGATGTGGATATCAGCAAGAATCCTTTCCCAATATGCTATTTAAATACTCAATTTGAAAAAAGGTAAAATGAAAACCATTGAAGATTAGAACTTCCTAAATCATGATCCACAATTATTCTTTAATTATTAACTAAATTTTGCATTAATTCTTTCAATATTGGATTTGGCTTGGCTAACAAGAAATAATGTACTGGAAATATTTTTTTGTGTAAGACAATGCAAAAAGTTTGTAATGTTCCAATTTTGATTTGAGAGAACATTGCATACTCACTTGTTTTGTGGAGCATTCACGAGGGCTGCTGAGATGTTCTGATCCATGAAAAAGAGCAAGGAAAGGCAAAATCCAAGACCCATGCCAGCAAAAGCAGCTGACACACTGAGTTTATGAAATGGCACCAGCGAGAGTGAAGCGCTCATACCTTCTGGTTGAAAACTGTAACCCACTGAAATAATTAAAGATTATTTGCCATAAAATATACAAGGAGATAGTAAGAAAAGAAGGGGAAAGGCAGGAGAAATTAAGTGTGTGTGTGTGGGGGGGGGAACAGGTAGGGAGTAGGAGAAACCCGGGGGATGGAGAAAGGAAGAAAATGAAGAAATCAAAATTCATGCAACCATTCAGCATACAAAAAAGATGATGGCACTACAATATGTTGTTGAGAATTCAATAAAAAGTCATTGATCAAATTTGAAATTGAAAATCCAATTCTATCCATTGAACTGGATGGTTGTATTAGAAAACAGTTTACATTCATCATGAGAGAATTTTTCATTTTGTCCTATGCACCAGTGGCTCCAACTTACAAATAATTGTCCAACAACTATGGCCCTCTTGTGATCCTTTATTGACTAGGCAGCTTCATGTGTTTTGATTCTAGTTTGCATCACCCCAAAGAAAGCATGAATCAATCACCTGCCATGTTCTTGAAGGATAGGTAAGTGACATCTGGGACAACTTTCATTGCGGCTTCTGTCTATCCGAGCAGACTAATTCACCAGATCTCCCCTTTGCTAGCAAGAACTACAACCGTCCATACATCTTGACTGTGACTCCAACTCTCTTTCATCACCAACTGCCCATGACTGGAATTCCCTACCTTCCAGCCAAGTGGCACTTAATCTTAAAAGTTTTTATTTTATTTCCTCTTTCCCTACTGCTGGACAGTTAATGCATGCTTAGAAGATCCCACTTGTAAAAAATTATGATCAATGTAGTCATATAAGCCTCAGGCCAAATTCAAAATCATTTATAGCCTGTTGGACTTCATCCTTGTTCTAAGATACTTGTGTGGGTGGGGTTGGGGGATTATTGTGTCACACAATGTTCACTACAGGAAAAACATTAATAGGAGATAAATAAAATTGAAGGGGTTAATGCAAAGAGGAAAACCCTTGAGTGGCAAGTGATCATGGCTCTCCACAGCTTCCTTTTCTTTTAGATTGTGCACTATGATGACTATTCTTGGAAAAGATGGTGGAATGGTTTTTACTTGTCCTCTCTGCAGTTTTGAATTCAGAACTGACTTTCTAGACAATGCCAACCAAGGCTAGAGAAAAGACTTTACTTTTGTGTCTAGATATTTAACCTATAACTGAGGTTGTTTTTTTTTTACAGCTTATCAACACGTGGGTTATTTAAAGCCAAACATATTTTGAATTTAAACTGCTTTCAGATTCCATTATCCATCCAAGCTCCCAAAATAGTGTTGTTATCAAAAACAGAATTTTTCAAATTGTATACCACACCAGGATATGTGGATGGTGTAATGGTTAGCAGCAAGAAATTGACAAGCCAAATTAGTTAGAAATTCAAATTTGTTATAATCACTTTCAGACCTTGGAAAGGTATGACTCCATCTCTTCTTCCCAGCTATGGGTTAAATAGTTGTGCTGCTAGAGCTCCTTAGCCTTGGTTGACAACCAGTCTAGGAGATAGATAACATTAAATTCAAAATGTGTCAGGTATGGGGCTAGCAGCTATTCTGTTAAAAGCTTATTTGCTATGTAAACCATAGCAGCAATGCCTAGTGTGGTGAGGCTATGGCTGCATACTCCACCATATATATATATATATATATATATATATATATGTGAGAGAGACAATATATCTCTCTCACACACACACACTGCAATATATACATAACATTCCAAAAGAGTGTCCACATCCTTGTGGGTGATGAATTATTTTCCACCCTACAACTCTTTACAGATGAGTTCTAAGCTTTATGGATAAAACCTGCCATGCCATAGACATTGTAGTGAACTGCACTCATTCTATTCTCTTCTATTGGTGAGATGTAAGTTCCAATCAAGCAGCTTCCTGATCACTACAATCTTAATCTGTTCAAGTCTAGCATCAGCCATTATCTTCCACACTTACCCCATAAACTGTGACCCTTAGTCTGTAACCCCCTATTTAGAGTGGCTCTTGGGCCTTATACAGGGAGAATATTGTAAAATTAAAAAAAATAAAAAAATTTCTTTTTTTTCAAAAACTTTAGGTACCCAAAGCTTTGAAAAGATTAAACCCAGAAAGATACAATATGAAAGAAAGATCTGTCATACTTACGGTCAACATCTTTAAACAAGTAGGCCCCAACAAAGGACATGATAATGACAGATACAGGAAGAGCGTAGTCAGAGAAAATCTCTCTCTTGCCACTTGTTAGATATGGACTGCAAAATAATTTTAATAAATTCCATTATTATCAGCATACATTTTGCAGTAAAGTCAACATATTACTTTGTAACTCAATTATAGAGGGTGCGGCAGAAATAATAAGACATGAATGGCAATGGCGTCTTCATCTAGCTAATGTCTTACCATTATGTGGTAGGTATTTCTGCTGCACCCAGCATAACACAAAGAACCTGGCAGTTGTCTGATGATCCACTTGCACACAATGCTAAAAGAACAGAAGATTGACTTCAACCTAACAGCTATATGCAGTTCAAAGAATTGCTCACAGCATAAATCTTATTGTTATTAGCAGTTGAGGGAGGGAGGGAGAGGGAGGGAGGAGGAGGGAGGAGGGAGGGAGAGGGAGGGAGGAGGAGAACTGAAATATTGGTTAGAAGGAACAAGTATTTAGTAAAACCAATATACAAAAAAAATAGTTAAAATGTACTGAACATTACCGGTTTTATGCAAATCCATTTAAAGAGAGTTACCATTTAAAGACACAAAAATTCAGTCACAATGCATTTTGCTTAGGCAGAATCTACTGTATACATCATACACACATAAGTGTTACAATAGCGAATTGTACATGACAGTTATCCCATACATTTGAATAAAATTAGATTGATCAATTTTTTTTTTATGTCTTAACCATTTGCAGATTATTTAATGCCAGAAGATATTTTTACATCGTAAGACTTTTTGGGAGATAAAGATTTGCTGATACACGTCCTATTAATTAAACCATAGTTGGGGGAGAAGAGGTGGATATATTACCTTACCCAAGAATATTTGTGTATAATATAATGAACCTTACTGGGATTGGAACTGTTCTGATTTCCAATTCTGAGCCTTTATCCATTGCCCTACCCACACATCAAAGCTTACAGCACAAGGTAGTCACCCATCTAGGTTGCTTAACTTTGGTAATTGTATGAGAACTAATTTTTCAACATGATATGGCTATAAGCCAATAAAAATGAGGAGAAAAAATAACAGAAAAAGATACTCTAATAATTTACAGGCTTCCTTCTTGTAGTTTAATTATCAGTGATTGCTCTAAGTTACCCCCTTAAGGCATCAAGTTCAAGCATCATTTAGCTTAAAGACACAAATTCTAAATTGTTTCATTGTTTTAATCTTAGATTTGTTACATTCTTCAAGCTGAGTGTTGAATTTAACTTCTCTGCTAACCAGAGAAAGATTAAAGTCTGAATTAACAAACTTATCTTATTACTGTTTGTCCATGTAATATGTTTATCACAACACTGTAAGTACTTATCACTTATGTAAATAGCATGAAATCAGGAAAGGAACTTAAGGCTACAATTGAGCGAGAGAGAGAGAGAAAGCAAGACTGTCCATAGAAAATTGGAGGTTGAAGCAGGTTCAAGTTATATTAGAAGCTCTTCTTGGATTCTGTGCTGTTTACTTTAGTGATTAATGGTAATATCAGTCATTTAATATAAGGAAACCTTCATCATTCATAAACTAAGTAGCCAGTGCTACACTTTTCTTCCACCTCTGGTCATCAGGCTAGGATCAAAGTGTAGTATCTGTCTCTTGACAGACAACATTTTATCTCTCAGTTGTGTTTCTGTCTTCAGAGTGCCAGTTAGTTGTGCATGTCTTCAGGTAGAGTGCAACTGAGAATTTTATTGAGGGATACCCAGTCTCAAGGAACAGCTGTCCATGGCAGTACCCAACTCATTGCACTAAAGAGTGGGGATTGGTAGTAGTGTAATTGATGGTCACGGAATTGGTCTGTGCTATTTTTAGACCTGGCCCAGGTGCACACGTTTGGGCTCTCCACATTAAACAGACCTTGTGTCACATCCTGCCAGCATGGGATGGCAAGTAAATACTAATTGTAATGTATCTTCTTTAATGAGAATATTAGCATTTCCTTGTAAGAAAACAATCAGCATCTATTGATCAAGCAACTATTGTCACGTTCGGGTGAAATTTATAAAATCTTTCTATTAAAATAATTTTCCATAAAAATGGTATCTCAAGTTCGCTGTTATCACCTTTTTCATTATTGATAGGTCTCCTTTGCTAACCTTTTGTTCAAAGTAGAGTGGAAAGTCAATATCTTGATTAAGTCATTATTTTGTCTTAGAGTTACACATGCTATCCATTTTAGTTGTTGCAGCCATGAAACATTCTCAAGGGATATGGTTGCTGCTATTTGGTACAGTTTTTTGTGATTCTGCAGCACGAGTCAAAGTTTGAAGAAAGATAGTCCTTATTAAGACCTACAGGTTTCATTTACTATATGTATCAATAGAATGTTATGATAAAAAATAATGAAATAATAATAGTAATAAAGTGTATTGAACCAGAGTGCTGGGATAAAAAGCAACAAGATGAAATATTTTTGCAAGGGTGCAAGGTTTAATTAAAGCCATTAAAAAAAAAAAATGAACATGTTAAAACGAAAAAAAAAAAAATTAAAAAAAAATGTTACTGTAAAGTGTCAATATTGAAACAACAAAAAAGCAGCTAAATTGGTTTATCAGTTTTCTCTCATCAGAGCTCAATTGTGGATGAGAAATTGCAAAACAACTAAAATGAACACCAAAAACCAAACATTATATAATAATTATGAAAATTACTGACAAAAATGGAAAACTTTTGTGTGGGATGCATTTCATCCTATAAGAGTTCACTGGACTAAAATGATATTACCATTGATCTAACTACACATAAAGGAGAGTGGATGCTGAAATTTTGAACTTTTTTTTTGTAAAGTATTTATTTTTTTTTTTATAAAAAGGATGCATTTGTGTATATTGTCTGACTAAATTTGTTTATTTTTTTGTTTTTATTACTTTTAAGTATCCCACATTGTAATAATAGAAGATCTGCCAAGGAAAAGTGAAAAGTTTTAAGAAACTGAATGCAAATTTACTGTAGATGATCTGTCGATTAATACACTTTCTAAACATTTTTTGTCTTAGTAAATTGTTTTATCTTTTAATTGAATCAGCATTTTTTAAATTATAGTCAGACTGATAATGGTGTGCAACTGATGTAGTGAGTGTGTTGTTTAGTAAAAAATCCCTTTTGTGTTCATATAATCTTATTTAAATTCCATAAGGTTTCTACTATGTATTGTGGCAATTATTACAGGTGATAGAGTAAATTCCTCCAAGTTTTAGTTTATTATTTTTTTTGTATTTAAGTCTTATTGTACCAAATTTTGTGTAAAGCTTTCAATTTGTTGAAATTTCTCCATATATATATATATATATATATATATATATATATATATACACACACACACACACATCCCACACTACTCCGAGTTTTATGCCAACCGCAATATTCAGGTGCTGAGTGTATACTAACCATTAATCAAATCTAATTTAAAATTATATCAGTTTATAATTTTCATGAGGTTAAGCACTATTTGTATAATATAATTTTTTCAAAAACCTTCCCTTAAAAAAATCAATTATATTTCTAATAGCAATAAATCAACTAGTATTAGCACGTAAACATAAAAGTAATTAAATTTTAGAGTGGTGAGTTATCAACTATAAACTATTATTAATAATGGAAGGGAGCTAATTGAATTTTAAATAAAATGGTAAAGTTACTATAGAAATATATATATATATATAACTAATAAAAACTATGAAATCTATAAAAAATAGATAAATAGCTAAAAATAAAAAATATGACTAAAAATATAACAAATCTATATTAAAAAAAAATTATAAGTAATAATCCATAAGACATAATAAATATTAAATAAATAAATACGTTAAACAAAAAGATAAATACCCTACACTGAAAACTAAACTGTGATATTATAGAAAATTAATCTGGGACTATGTGCTTGAGTAAATATTTATTACATGTAACCATCAGTTCTTTTCTCTTATTTAGTAAGCCCAGGTTATTTAAATGTTGTAATATAATTATTTTTTTCAACTAAAGACAAGCTGCATTTGTTCCCCTTCCCATGAAACAGCTTAGCCATTATATTCCATCTAATAAAAGGTGAATTTCCAGAATCTTTCAATAACCAGAAATAATTAGAGAGAGCAGTGCTGTTTCCATGTTTACTATTAGCCAAAGTCACAGCGATGGTAGAATCGAAGCAATGATAAACTGATATCATTTTAAATTAGATTCAACTAACAGTCAGTACACACTCAGCACCTGAAGATTGCAGTTGACATGAAACGGCGTAGTGCAGGATATATATATATATATATATATCTATATAAAAATCAACTTTTTACATTATTATTTGGACTATTGTTCTCATCTTTGTTGCCATATTTATCACAATGTTTCGGCCATTGTACGCTCTTCAGAATTGGCCTTGGTCAATACTGAGAATATGTCTTGGTTGTAAGATCAGGCACATTGCTTGTTTTGTAACCAATGTCTACCTTGCCCTTGTAAATGTTGGCTGGGATGTAATGGTTGAACCTGGCTCCCAACCATTGACCCATTCTCCCTATGTAGTCAGTGTCATGCTGACATTTGAATGTGATGGGGAGGTAGAACAATTTCTGGATCAGTCTCATTATTGGTTGGGCAACAAAGATAATATGTGGATTTTTTGTTAGTTGGATTTTGATATCACTTTAACAATAATATGGAATAAAGCTAGTAATAATGATTGACCCATCATGTTTTGATAAATAGAAACAATACAAAGAACATTAATAGTAAGAAATTAATAGTAAAAATGGAAAGGCTTCATCTAAACAAAAAAAATAAAGCACAGAATCATTTTTCCAAAGATCCAAATGAATTAAGACTTACGTGTGTTTGAAGTTAAAGAGTGATACACCAAGCCAAAGAGTTCCGAACATAAGAAATAGATACAAGACACTGTTTTCTCGGTCACATGCATATACCACAGGGTCAAGTGTTACATTTACAGCAGTTGTATTGGTATCACAGTATGGAGTGTTGTAACTGTGAGAGAAACCTGTAAATAAAAACAAAAAAAAATATCATCAAGTTCTTATTTTATACTAATGTTCACCCAATACCAAACCCAAGAGTCACTTAAGGTAGAAGGTTATTGCGTGGTGCTGCATGAAGTGAAATTCATGGGGGTTATGCAGGAAAGAACGTTAACTCTAGACTTGAAGAGGTCAAGATTGTAGCAATAGGGAAAACATCCTAGGGAATGGGGAGGATTCACTTGTGTATGTGCCATACTGGGGTATGATTTTTAAGGGTCAAGGGTTGGGAGGGGACTAAAGAATGTAGCTCATCAGAAAACTTGACATGGAGAAAGGGGATGCCAGGTGGAAAATAAATCACCCACAAGGTCATGTAGAGGCATTTGAACTCTACCAGACAGGCAAGTGAGAACTGGGCAGCTCCAGCCCAGGCATGGCAGCAATACTAGAGAAAGACCCCCTCCATCACAATGATGGAACATTACTAGTTTGGTATTGGCTGTATTGAATTTTACAAACCAGTCCTCCCATTGAGGCACCAGGGCTAGGTCAGCGGAGATGAGCTGATAGGTTCTGCACTTCCAGATTTGGGGGGTACACCTATTAACTATTGTATCATCTGCATAGATACTCACTAAGAATCAGAATATGTCCTTTGTGAGAATATTAATGTAGAGTAGAAAGAGGGCAGGATTGAGGAAATAAACTTGATTAATGCTGGCATTAATCTTCCTGTCAACTACAATCTTCAAATATTGAAATGCAACATTTTTTGCCCTTTCTTCTCAATGATGTTTTTCTAGTTTCTTTCACTCTCAGTCACCCCTTTGCATCTTAGTGATTTTATCACCTTGCTTGAGATGAATTGTTTAAAAAAAAAAATAAATCAAACATATGAAGGGCAACTTCCAGCTTTTCCTCAAGCTGAACTGTTGTATAAGAATGATCATGTAGCATACTTGCCACCAAACTTGATATCCCTTATCTGACCCAAACATGAAATAAATAGGCTAAGAATCACTTAGCATGAATTTTTTTTTTTTTTTAATCATTTCACCCCAAGCAAGGCAATAAAGCCACTAAGACAAGGAGATACTTAATGTTAGAGAATATGAGAAAATAAAAAAAACAAACACTATTAAGGAGAGAGAACATTATTACAAGAACAAGAATTAAGACAGACGATAATGATTAACATTGTATTTAAATTTTTGAAGATCAAACTCGACTTGGAAGCAAAAAGTGTTCCACAGGTGAGAAGTGCAATAGAAGAAACTGTTAACATAGAATTTACAGTTACATCTAGCCATTTCAACTGTAAAATGATGAGACCTTGCTGCCAATCTAGTACTGCGCGTAAATTCATAAAGTCTAGGTACCATGGAGGAAAGTTCATCAGAACAATTACCATGAAAATATGAGAAAAAGCACTGGGAAGATACATTACAATGGTGAGGAAATTGATTGAAGGTGAGATGCCAGATCAGAACCAATAACATTGCAGATACTTTGTATTTTATCAAAAATCTCTAAATATTTAGCAGGAGCACCAGACCAGATGTGTCAGCAATATCCAAAGCAAGGACGAATGGTAAAATACTTTGAGTTATTTGATTTAGACAAAGTATTTTTTTGCATCTTTGATTGTAGGAAATGTTATAGACTTTTCAACCAGGTATCCTCAGGCTATATTCAAGCATCCATTATTTTAACTAATAAAGGATGTTGCATAGGTATTGATTATTGCTATGCCCTTTCTAGAGTAAAGAGGAAGAAAGAGTAAAGAGGTTGGGGTAAAAAAAGAAAATAGAGGGGAGGAGAAAAGTGGGGAGGCAAAGAAAAGAAAGAGAGAAAGAAAAAGCAGGGACGGGGGAGAAAAAAAAAGGAAAAAATCATATATATATATATATATATATATATATATATTCAATCAAAAATAAGCTGGGAGGGGGAGAGAAAAAGAACAATTGAATAGCAGCTGAGAAGAAAATTTACCCATGTACTGATAAACAATCTGGTTATTTAAATCTTTACACATTTATTCATTGGTCATCCTCAGTCATTGATGAGAAAAACTTGAAACAAGGAATGGTAGAATGATTTAGCACTATAGGCAGCCAAGACCTTCCATATTAAATAAACAGTTTTAGATCATTTGAGCTATGAACACTTGCAAGCTAATCTATTCTACATAATAAGTGGCAAATAAAGAATGAAAAAAGGTTTTAGGTTTATGTGCCTTAGATGAGAGTGAACTGAAAGAATAAAACAAGACCTGGACTGAGAAAATTTAGTTCGGATGATAATTAAAATTTTAATTATCTTTGTGTAAAAAGAAAAACATTAATCTGATTAAACTTTGCTTTCAGGCATTTCAAATGGAAATTAAGCTGATTGGTTAAGAAAAGAAAATTTAAAAAATCTTAAATCATATGAAAGTGAGACTTACTTTTTGCACAACTTTTAAAAGCATCCACAGAGAAAGCAATTGAGATAAAGAGTGCAAAAATTTCTTCAGAAGATCTACAAAAGAGAAAATATGCACATATAAATGCATCTGATTTGAGCAAAAATAAAAAATGCAAATGCACAGTGTACAATATATGAATACAGATATGCAAGCACACACTAACAGGAGTGCATGTTGCCTCCTGGAACAAAGTACCAAACATTACAGTTTCAGCTTATAAAAATTCTCTTGGAGTGAAAAATCACTCATGGAAGGCAGGGACTCAATTTGGTAAATTTAACAGATATAGACTCTTATGAATAAAAGAGTAACAGTACATGCATTCTCTGTTATGATCAGATTATGACTTAACACATTAATTGACAGTGGTCAATTATGAAATCTGACTTCAAAATGCCAATAAAATCTTTTTTAGGAGTTGATTTATAGCTTCAACTGAAATCTTGTTTTCCCACAAAACAAAGTGTCAGCATGACTTAACTCGTAGCCAGTCCCATAATAAAAACTGCCAACCACCTGTTGGCTTGTAGTCAGTTTGTTAAACTGACCTATCTGCTTGTAAAATAGGGAGGAGGAGTAATTTTTGGCAGATTAGAATTTATTAGACTATTCTCAAGCCATGATATTTGTCAAAAAAAAAAAAAAAAATATTGATTTTTTTTTTTATCATTTTAGGAGGAAAATCCTGTTCAAAATATAGTGATAAACTGATCCCTGACTTTTTAAAGAGTTGTCTGTTCTTTATATTTATTTACAAAATGTCAAATTTGACACTGTGCTTAGATCATTGATAACTGTGTGCTATTGGTATTAACTAGACACAAACAGTATATACTCAAATGTAGTGAGAGTTTTTATGAATTTTTTTTTTATAGTAAATTAGTGGTTGCACTACACATAGGTACAATTTTCTGGAGGGGGTTAAAATTCATGCAAAAAGATTCAGAGGTCACACTACTTATAAATTTGGTTTATACACGACTATATGTGTTAAGAATGACATACCTGGTTGACCACCGCATCAGTACACTAAGATCAAAGAAGGAGTAGATGAAGAGAAAGAAAGTATTCCAAAGGCCAACACAGCCAAACATGGCGACAAAGTTTATTTCAAAGTCTTCACATATGGTAAAAATGACTGCAAAGATAATATTAAAGACATAAAATAATATAAATTTAGTTCTATTACCTAGAGAAACAGAATAAAAAGAAGAGAAACAGAATAAAAAGAAGAGAAACAGAAAAAAAGAAGAGAAACAGAATAAAAAGAAGAGAAACAGAATAAAAGAAGAGAAACAGAAAAAAAAAGAAGAAAAACAGAATAAAAGAAGAGAAACAGAAAAAAAAAGAAACAGAATAAAAGAAACAGAGAAAAAAAAGAGAAACAGAATAAAAAAAGAGAAACAGAATAAAAAGAGAAACAGAATAAAAGAAGAGAAACAGAATAAAAAGAAGAGAAACAGAATAAAAAGAAGAGAAACAGAATAAAAAGAAGAGAAACAGAATAAAAAGAAGAGAAACAGAATTAAAAAGAAGAGAAACAGAATAAAAAGAAGAGAAACAGAATAAAAAAGAAACAGAATAAAAAGAAGAGAAACAGAATAAAAAGAAGAGAAACAGAATAAAAAGAAGAGAAACAGAATAAAAAGAGAAACAGAATAAAAAGAAGAGAAACAGAATAAAAAGAGAAACAGAATAAAAAGAGAAACAGAATAAAAAGAAGAGAAACAGAATAAAAAGAAGAGAAACAGAATAAAAAGAAGAGAAACAGAATAAAAAGAAGAGAAACAGAATAAAAAGAAGAGAAACAGAATAAAAAGAAGAGAAACAGAATAAAAAGAAGAGAAACAGAATAAAAAGAAGAGAAACAGAATAAAAAGAAAAGAAACAGAATAAAAAGAAAACAGAATAAAGAAGAAACAGAATAAAAAGAAGAGAAACAGAACAGAAAAAAAGAAGAGAAACAGAATAAAAAGAAGAGAAACAGAATAAAAGAAGAGAACAGAATAAAAAAGAAGAGAAATAAAAAAAAGAGAAACAGAATAAAAAAGAAGAGAAACAGAATAAAAAGAAGAAACAGAATAAAAAGAAAGAAACAGAATAAAAGAAGAGAAACAGAATAAAAAAGAAGAGAAAAGAATAAAAAGAAGAAACAGAATAAAAGAAGAGAAACAGAATAAAAAGAAGAGAAACAGAATAAAAAGAAGAGAAACAGAATAAAAAAGAGAAACAGAATAAAAAGAAGAGAAACAGAATAAAAAGAAGAGAAACAGAATAAAAAGAAGAGAAACAGAATAAAAAGAAGAGAAACAGAATAAAAAGAAGAGAAACAGAATAAAAAGAAGAGAAACAGAATAAAAAGAAGAGAAAAAAAGAAAACAGAATAAAAAGAAGAGAAACAGAATAAAAAGAAGAGAAACAGAATAAAAAGAAGAGAAACAGAATAAAAAGAAGAGAAAAGAATAAAAAGAAGAGAAACAGAATAAAAAGAAGAGAAACAGAATAAAAAAGAAGAGAAACAGAATAAAAAAGAAGAGAAACAGAATAAAAAAAAGAGAAACAGAATAAAAAGAAGAGAAACAGAATAAAAAGAAGAAGAATAAAAAGAAGAGAAACAGAATAAAAAGAAGAGAAACAGAATAAAAGAAAGAAACAAACAGAAAAAGAAGAGAAACAGAATAAAAAGAAGAGAAAAGAATAAAAAGAAAGAAACAGAATAAAAAAGAAGAGAAACAGAATAAAAAAAAAGAGAAACAGAATAAAAAGAAGAAAACAGAATAAAAAAAGAGAAACAGAATAAAAAGAAGAGAAACAGAATAAAAAAAGAGAAACAGAAAAAGAGAAACAGAATAAAAAGAAGAGAAACAGAATAAAAAAGAGAAACAGAATAAAAAGAAGAGAAACAGAATAAAAAGAAGAGAAACAGAATAAAAAAAGAGAAACAGAAAAAAAAGAAGAGAAACAGAATAAAAAGAAGAGAAACAGAATAAAAAGAAGAGAAACAGAATAAAAAGAAGAGAAACAGAATAAAAAGAGAAGAAACAGAATAAAAAGAAGAGAAACAGAATAAAAAGAAGAGAAACAGAATAAAAAGAAGAGAAACAGAATAAAAAGAAGAGAAACAGAATAATTGTTTTTCTATAAACAAACATGCAAATTAGTATATGAAAAAATATAAAAGCTGAAACTTCATTCCAATTTTGGAAACGCTATATAAATTCTAAATTTTAATACAATTTTCCAATTTTATGAAAGATTTTGTCAATAGAATAAAACCTTAAAAGTCAGAAAAAGTAAAAGAAACTGTACCCCTTAAAAAGATCCATCATATGGAAACCATTTTTTTCTTTTTTTAAATGCCATATCTCTTTATGTATCTCCAGATTTTTTGTTTTTATTATCTTTGAATTACCATGACTTCTTCGGAAAAAGTTGTTTCCTGTTGTCCTCATCATGGTTTTGAATTCAGAGTACTTCTTGGCTGGTTACCACCCAAGACTAAAGAGTCCAGTCTACCCTACTATTCAACTTATAGTGGTGGTGGGGAGATGGATTAATGGCATTCCCATTGCCATTAGTGCAGAACATACAAGGGTAATAATTGAACTCAGCTCACTAATTCCTCCACTCTGCTCTCAGTAATTGTTACATTAAGCACACCTCTAGGGATTATATAAATCAGATGAAAAGTTGTTGAGGCTAAATATATTTTAGTTCTGTTTTTACATTCAAGTACAGTTTTTTTTATGACCAGCACCCACTGTGTGCTATGTTATATAGAATGTATTTAAGCAGCAAGAACTAATCCAAACAAGTCTTATTAAATTCCACCAACAGGGTCTGTCAACTTAACTTTTTATTATATCTTTATATATTTCCAATTACTGAATAAGGTGTTGCACATCGGGATTGAAGTCATGAATAAATTATTTAAAGTTCATGTTTTTTTTCTGTTATATTCAAGTCACCAATTTATTTTGGATTTGCACATGGAGATATCTGATTTTTGTCCTTGGCTAATGTGATTGTACTCTAAAGGCCTAAGGAGATCTTTTGTTACAGTGGGTTAGAATAGTGTACCATTAGGAGAAGTTTTGTAACTAATGGCTGGCATACGTCAATATCAGATCAATATGAATTGGGTTGCCTTGGAGAAGTTATAAGATCCAAAATCACTAATGATCAACCACTAAAAACTTTAATTGATGTGTGCCAGAGCATCTGAGAAATGTAACGGAGAGCTCTTTCATTCCCCTAATAGAAAATAGATGTGGAATTAAATTGCATACAAGAGCCACTGATCAAATAGGGGGAGAGAGAGAGAGTAAGAGTGTGTGTGTGTGTGTGTGTGTGTGTGTGTGTGTGTGTTTTATATGTATCTCAGTCTTTGTAGATTTGTTACATATTCACCTTCCTCCATAACCCAGTCTTGTTTCCAAATTCTCTTGTGAGAATATTTTAGCAGACTGTAACAGATTCTCTGTGTCTTTTCTATAAATACTTTCATGGGAATTGTTCTGATGAGCTTTCTGCATTGGTACAAAAACTTTATGAATTTAAGCACAGTACTTAGTTGGTGGCAAGGTCCCATCATTTTGCATTTGAAATGGCTGCTAGATGCAACCATAAATTCTATGCTAGCAGTTTCTTCTATCACACTTCTAGCTTGTTAATTCCTGTTATTTTATTTTCTCATATTCTCTTCCTCAGTAACCCCTTGTTGTTTTAGTGGCTTTATTGCCTTGCTTGGGTTGAAATGATTAAAAAAAAAACTGATCTGTGAACCATGTCTTGACTGAGGGTGTAAAAAGTACAGAGTGACACGAGACCTTCAGATGCAACATACCCACAATGAAGTTTCAGGAACATATCAATTCAAATATTAAACAAAAGATTAGGATTTTAGTCCTAATTTGTAGAATAATTAAAATCCATTGCAAGACGTCATACAAGATTTACAGTGCAAGGCATGTAATGGACTTCCTATAATCTAATACTCTTAGAGAGAGCATGTGTGTGGGAGGGCAGGAAGTGACGGGGCTGAAAATATTCCAAAGACCTAAGCTCATTAAAACTAATGTTTACTAATTTTGTAATTTTTGTCCTTATAAATAAATTTCTGATCCCCTTTTATTAAGATCCCCCTTATTTATTGTGTATTGAGAAAAATTCTGATTTCATCAATTACTAAAACTCTCTTGTATTGAGTGTCTCAGAGTAAGTCATAAAAAATAAAATCAGTAATTTTAACCTGAGAAGTGAGTAAAATTGAATGACCTAATGACTGCAAAAGTTTCCATTATATTCGTCCAACATATAAGTGGATTAATACATTGATATAAGTGTGCAAGAATCAATATTGAGTCTTTGAGATGAAACCCAAGATAAGTACAAGATCTGTAGACCTTTGGTCAACAGAAGAAAACAGAAACTGCTGCAATGTATACAGACTTAATTCATTGAAAAACATTGAAATACAAAATTCAGCTAAGACAAAACATTAACAGAACTAGTTTTTTTAACTCATTAATGCCCAATTAATAAAGGATTTTTTATTTTAATTTTTATAATTAGTACTAGACTTTATGACTTTGGAGGCATGTTGGAATAATGGATAGCAGCTTATGCTGAGAAATTGGAGAGTAGGGCTCAAATTCCAGTTACATTGACTGACATACAAATACCCTTGAGAAAGCTTTGAATTCATCTTTTTCTCACTGGCTATGGGTTGAATAGCATGATAGGTTGGGTCCTCTGTCTATATTTCCATGATAAAGTATTATACCTATTTACACTATTTAAATTGTTCACAATTCATCTTTACCGTCAAATTCACGTTTCATACAATCTGGTCTACTTCTGATATTGGATTTTTGAACTGAACCCATTATTTAGTCCATGGGGGTAGATTGTTCTAATTTCACATACCAGACCTTTGGATATCTGTTTTAGTTAATTTGCCTTGATAAAGTTTTTTTCTCTCTGTTGGGGTCAGGGATTGAACTCAATTCTTTATGTAAAGTCAGTTTTTTTTTTTGAGCAATCAACCAATATTTTTATCCACTGGGCCATGTGTCCTTGACCAAAGGAGTCCTGACCAAATAAAGGTTTCGGTTTAAAATTCAAACAAATATCACTTGCAGAAGGCCAAAGTGTACAATGGCTGAAACAGTAATTGTATTGCAGAAATTGCTTTTCCAAAAGATAATGTATAATTTTCTAACTGTCTCACCCAGCATGGAAAAAGACAAAGATAAGAAGTCTTTACGAATAATCAAGTTATATAAAAAAAATCTCATCAAAGTTTAAACAATGAATTTATTATAGAAATAACAAATCTAGGATGTTTTAAGTAAAAATTCCCAGCATCATCTTTGGTCCAATGCTGGCTGTTCAATCAGTCAACTGCCTGTTCAATTATTTACAAGTTTTATGGTAAAAAAGTTTTATATATATATATATATATATATATATATATATATATATATATATATATATAAAGAAAACAGTTTCTATAGGAATTTCTATACTGTTTAGCATTTAAACAGTTCTTGCCAAACACAGGATATTAAATAGGAACTATTTACATTATTCAGACTATTGTCCTCATCTTTGTTGCCATATTTATCACAAGGTTTCAGGTGTTGTATGCTCCAACCTTCTTCAGGTGGTTGAAATGTTGAACTGAACCCTTTATTTCGCTTGCTGGGGTAGACTGTTCTAGTTTCATGTGCCATGTCTAATGGATGTGAGTTATCAGTTATCTTCTGTTAATTCCCCTCTCCAAGTTGTCCACCTTAACCAGGTATTGAACTTGGACTCTTTGGGTCCTGTCACTGGATCTAACTAACACCTTTATCCACTGTGCTATGTGTCCTTGAGGACATCTGGGTGCAAATTTCCTTAAGTTTACAAATTTTTCAATGATGTTCTTTGTCTATGATTTCCCACAGAGGGTAGGGATCTTATTTTTCTCTCCATGTGTGGTCAGCCATGCCTGATTTTTCCACTTCCCCTCGTGTTACAGCTTTCTGGTGTTTTTGAAACCTTACCTTAAGGGGGTGGCCTGGCTCCCCTTTATATTTCTTTCCGCAGCTGCAAGGGATGGTGTACACACAGTCAAAGAGGAGTACAATAGACCGAATAATGTAAATGTGTACATAATACTTCATCTCAGAAATATAGACAGATATTCAATGGAAAATTAAAATTAATTGATTTTCAAAATTCAGAATACCAAAAAAAAATGTAAGTTAGATCAAAGAAACCTTCAATATCTCAACCTACACAGAATCTATTAGCTGGTGTGTGCGGAGAGTAGATTTCTCTCTTTGGTGTGTATTCTTCCACAACAAATTGTTATTGAACATCACTACAATGAGCAATTGGCATGTTTGAATAACATTGAAATAAATGTCTGGGCAATAAAATGGGCAGAGTTTGTGCCATGACACATTGTACATGATCATGCAACAGCCATGGGAAGTTCTACATTATTTTCTTTTTTTTTTCTTTTTTTCTTAGACATCATTTGTTTTCCTCCCTGCAACAATCCTAGCCTGGTTAATGCTAACAACCAAAGTTGAAGATATTCAAAGATTCCCTGGAGAAACATTTTTTTATGACATAATAGATAATTTAACTGAAAGAATCATGCAAAGCCATAGAAATTTGGTCAAGAACAATGTAAGAATTCATGTGAATTTTGTTAAAAAGAAAAATGTTTGGAAACTTTAGCCTCAACCTAATATCAGTTCCAAATTTTCAACTGCACCATTTAAGAAACTTAAAACATGAATAAGATTAACATATATGCAGATATCTTAAAAATATTTGCAGGGATATATGAAGGAGTGCTGAAAAGTTCTTGGCCTAATTCACATCCCAAGATGTGACCGAGCAAACAGAGTTTTTAAGCCCTTTTTGGCCAGGCCAAGGATTTCTCGACAACTTGACTAAATATTTTAGTTTCAAATGAACAATTAAGATAATATTTAATACTTACTTTTGGTGTAAAGAGCAAGTGGCGCTGTTGTGAGTAGAACTATTTGGGGTGTGCCCCCGTACAATGCAAATACCAACCCACCAAATATCTGTGAAAAAATCACTTTCTTGACATCTACAAGAAAATATGAACATTAATTATAAAAAGGAAAAAAATGGCCACCTTAGAAGGAATAAAAAAAAAAAAAACAATTTCTTTAGAAATAAAACATCTGTCCCCACCAGAAAAACAAATAAAAACAACAATCACTCCCAGAGAAATAAAATCAATCTGGCACACCCACCTGAAACAAATAAAAACAATCTGTCCCCCCCACCCCAAAGACGCAAATAAGTCACTTTAAAAATGGAAATGCACATTGTATTTTTCACTGCTTAGCTAGACCAAAGTGGATATCAAACACCAAGCACACCTCTCAGTATTCTTTAAACAAAGCTCCCAGAGTAGCCTCTTTCATTTTCAAAAGGATTCTTTCTGGCATAGATGCTTATTTACTTGGTTGCCAAGCTTTCATCTGACAGAACTTTGATTACATTTTACTGAAAAAGTTTAATTTTTAGAGCGTCTTGATATCATTGAAGAAAAAAAAATCCACTTTTTACTGGATCTACATATTCAAAAACAACAACAAAGGTTTACAATAAAAGAAAGAGTTATGATAATGATTTTTTTAAAAAAATTTCCCCTTTTTAAAAAGGAAGTAAAAAATTTTAAGCATTTTCATTGGTCATAAATACCTTTTCTAAATAGGCTTATTTTTACAAATTCATGAGTAGGACATTTAAAATGTCCTAAGTGAGGATGGGAAATTACAAGAAAGAAATCCTAAAACTGGTTAAAAATTGTTTTGTATTACATGATCATAATGGATACTTGCTAAGGTTAGGCTGGCACAAGGCCACAATAAATAAGGCTCCCCCATGAGGATTTCAGGATTCAACCTATCATATCAGCAATTTTCTACTGTAACTACCTTGATAAGCATTGCTTTAGTCTAGGTGCCTGTGCAAGGCTACAATATTAATGTGCCCAAACATCTTACGTATGAGTCACACCAATGATTCAGGAAAAATGGTCAGCTCCCTGTACAGCTTCAGTAAGTACACGACACTTATCGTTATCCTCTACCTTTACAAGAGCCAGATCAAGCCCAAAACGGAGCACTGCTGTCATATTTGGGTAGGAGCTGCCCAGTCCTCACTTTCCAGTCTTGATAGAGTTCAAAAGCATCTGAGTCCTTTTGGGTGACAAATTATTTTCTACCCTCCAACCTCTCACAGGCAGGATGTGGCAAGCCTCTTACTACAATGGAAAGTTCTTGGATGATGTACATTCCTTGGTTCCACCAGGTTTAACCTTCATGGCTAGGACCCGCCATACCTAACTTACATTGTAGCAAGCCAACCACATTCCCTCCTATTCCATTATTGAGAAGTCAATTTCACTTGAACAACTTCTACCTGCAAACCACTGCTCCGTGAAACGGACTCAAGCGGATGTTTCCCCCAATCACTACAATCTTAACCTTTTCAAGTCTAGGGTTTCCCTCCTATCTATACAAACTGTGTCTTAACATAACCCTCTACCATGAGTGGGCCCCGGGTCGTGTACTGGGCGACTTTCTGGAGAAAAAAAAAAAATTATAAAGGGTGTTCCAATAACTTGGATCAATATTAAATGTGAATTAAGTTTAAGCATCAAACGAATTTTTTACTTTTCCTTTCAGATTTAGCAACTTAAGTATTTGGCAATTTCAACCATGGAAAGATTAACAATCAAACGTGTTAAAGTTTCAAGAATGCAGTTGGAAAAATTGCTTGTAAATTCAAACAAACTGAGTCTGTGGTAGATGTGAAAACACCATTGTGTGCTTGTTTGTGCTGTTCAGCTGAAAACACTGCTGTAGTGCATGAAAATGTGGCTGAAAATCCAGACACCTCTATTCTTCGTCATTGCATGCAGAAATTGAACCTCTCCACAACATTACATTGTTTCCAATTGCACTCTTGGTTGGTCCATAATGTTGACCCAAAAAAAATCATGAAGTGTGTGAAATGCATTTCTGTTTGAACGTCTATTTTCATAAGAATGTTCAATAACTAACTAGTTGTTTGTTAATCTTTCCATGGTTGAAATTACCAAATACTTAAGTTGTTAAATCTGAAAGAAAAAGAAAAAAAAAATCATTTGACGCTTAAACTTAATTCACATTTAAAATCGGTCCAAGTTATTGAAACACTCTTTATTATTATTATTAATTTCTGTAACCAGCTTATTAACCATTATTTGAAGAAATAAAAAGATCCCATTTAATCAAATGCATTTGGTTTCAATATAATTCCTCAAAAATGATCAGATGACAGTTTCGAAAATTTTACAGGCAGGCACAAACATAAATTTTACTTTTTCTAAAAAACTAATGATCACTAAAAACAAGGCTCAAGAATCACTCTTGGTAATTTTATTTACTATTAAAATGTATTTTTATACTTTCCTATCACCTGAACAACAAGGAGGAAGACAGTCTGTTTGTAAATATAATATTGATCCCATCACCCTTTAAGTTCAATGGTCATTTATTTTTCTTCCAAAAAACAAGTCTAAAATACTTACTAAGCATTCCATTAGTATTTTCAGAGTTTAAAACTCCGAATGCAATTGAAGGTAAGAGAATTGCAAAGAACAGGAAACAAGATGTAGAAAGAGTTTTTTGTATGGAATTGTGGCCAATTACACCTGAAAGAGAAAAAAAAAAAAAAAAAAAAAAAGATTAGCAAACTGTTAGAAAAGAAATTTCACAAATGTAAATAAAATTTAGTACAAATATCAAGAATCTATTCAGAAAAAGTCATATTGACCAATGATGTCAAAAAATGGATGGTGACATATTTTATTAAGTCATTGTTATTATATGAATATGTGAATCTTGGAATACAGAATTTTTTTTCATAAATGGCTTAGGATTTTCACCAGCCCTTGCATTGCTTAAATTGGCACAAGAATTAGCACCAGAGTTGCTTAAATTCTTCAAGCTTGGTCCTAATAAAAAGAAAAAAGACATTTTAATGTAACTAAGATAAGTATAAAAATACAGTATAAAATAATGTATTTAATACCTTTCTCTTTTGGTTTAATTTTACATATTTTTCTTGCGTTAGCGTTGCTTAAGACTTAGTCAAATTTGAGTGCAGTTGATTATGAAAAAAAGTGTGTGTATGTATGTATGTGTATATATATATATATATGTATGTATGTATATATATATATATATATATTTTTCTTTTTTTTTTTTTTTTTTTACACTAAGGTTTACCCTGTACAAAGTCTAGGGGCCCACTGGAGGTAGAGGGTTATGTTAAAGGGTAGTTTATATGAATAGGAGAAGATAACAGTTAACTCTAGACTTGAACAGTCTAAGAGTATAGTGATTGGGGAAAATCCACTTGGGAGTCTGTTTCACAGGGCAGTGATTTGTGGGAAGAAGTTGTTTTAGTGGAACTTACTTCTCAGTGATGGAATACAGAGGAAATGAGGGTGGCTTGCTTCTATGTAAGTGGCATGGCGGATCCTAGCCACAAAAGTTAGGCCTAGTGGAACCAAGATTAGAAAGTGATCTGGCTCTTATAAAAGCTACAGGATAGCATAAGGAGTTAGGTACTTACTGGAGCAATAGAGGGAGCCAATCATTTTACCTGCATCTTTAACAATAGATTGTATATACGAGTTCCACTTGAGGTCAGGTGTGAGTTTGAGGCCCAACATTCTCTCAAGGCATGGAGCCTCATCAAGGGGGTATCTGCTCATTGTGATTGACAGTAGTTCAGGGTCTTATTGATGGTGATAGAGTATAACCATTTTGGTTCTTGAGGCATTGAATATAACCAGCCAGTCCCCACCCCCACTGGGAAGTTAGTGTTAGATCGGAAGAGAGGTCAGCTGCCAATCTCTGATTGTCCAGAGTTTTAGAGGTGCACCTGTATATCGTATCATCAGCATAGATGTTTATAAATGATCCCAGTATATTCTTAGGCAGAACATTTATATAAATCTGAAAGAGGGCTGGTCCGAGAAGTGGCCCCTGGGAGATGCCCGAGTTGACCGCCAGGGCCTTGGAGGATTGGCTGTTAATAACTACCTGTTAGGAAGGATGTTATAATTTAGAAAACTCTTCCAGTGATTTCATAGCTGGAGAGCTTCTGTAAGCAAACCTTTGTACCATACCATGTCAAAGGCCTTTGAGATATTTAATTCTATGGTCCTTGTCATGAGTGTCATCAAAGGCCTCACTAAGTCTGTATGTAATGGCAGTTAGGACATCAGCAGTGAATTGGGCTGGTCAAAACCTACACTGCTCATCACACAATCTTTCTATGTAGGTGCTCAATGACCTTGTCTATTAAAGCCTTAAAAAGCTTACTGATAATATTGAGGAGACTAATAGGTCTATACAGGGAGGAGGAGGATCGCTCGTTTTAATTCTTTAAGATTGGTCATATGCTTGCCTCCTTCCACAGGTCTGGGAAAGGATTTTTCCTTCAAGCAACTGTTAAATAACTTTGCTAGGATGAGAGATAACTCTAGGTTGATATTAGGGACAACCACTGGAATTTTGTCTGGGCCAGTGGATTTTTTTTTTGTGTCAAGAATTTTGGTAAGTCTAGAGACTTACCTTACTAAAATGAGTATATAACTGAGATTGGGCTCAGTGAGATGTTAGAAGTTGGGGAGGGGATGGCTTTTGTCATGTAACATTGAGTTTGAGGCAAAGAGCTTCACTTTGTTGAGGAAGATATGATCTTGGGGTCATTTATAATAGTGGGTAAAGCCACTTTGGCTCTGTTCATAATTTTGGTTAGTGATCTTCCAGAATTTGTGAGATCCAATTTGTTTCTTTTTAACCTTGGCCTAGGCAGCTTGCACATAGCTGCACGTGGCATTTTCTAGAACTCTCCTACAGCAATTGCAGGTAGTTCTGAAAGAAGTAAGGGCCAGAAGACACTACTCCCTGCAATAGATATTGAAATAGTGGCTCCATGAGCTATGGCTTCAGCACAATCAGAGAGGCTGAATATTTGGTTTTTGCTGGAATTTTTTTTTTGGGGGTATAAAGCACTCCATTCCAGAAAGAATCTATTCAGAGATAAGGGCAGCAGTTTTTGGGGCAGCCCGTTTAAAGAAGGTTGGGTAAGGAACTTCCATCATATAGGACTGAAAGCTGTCCTTTGCATAGCAAAAGGACTGTTCTATGGAATGGCAAATCAAAGGATGTCATTGGTTTGGAATCAATCTTGACACTGACTAGACAATGGCATGATGTGCCTATGGGGTCGGGGTAGAACTTTTACTGAGCATTTATCAATTAGAAAAAAGTCAGAGGTTCGCCTGCTGCCCCATCGCATCCAGGTCTCAGGTGAGTTCTTCAATGATCTGGGTTAGTTCATAGGCAATGGAGAAGTTTCTGCAATAACTACCTTTCTCATCAGTTTTGTTAGAGTTGATTAATCACTCTTTATAGTCAACATTGAAGTCACCACATATGTGAAAGCTGGCCGAGTGAAATTCTGTGAGGATATTGTCAATCCTCTCTGATATTTGATCAAAGATTACTGAACCTTCATCCTGTGGGTGATACAGAGCAAAGACAAATGTGGTACATGGAAACACATATACGGGAGATCAAGGTCTTTGTTTTTTGTGTCCCTGCCACAGGGAAACCTGTTCTTGATGTAGGCACCGAGTCTGTGGCAATTTAGGTGGTCATATTTTGTTATAATGGGTGAGCAGCCCAGGATTGTGAGCTCCTGTAATAGGATTAGGCATACCTGTTTTAGACAGGAACAGGAAGTCAGGCTTAGACTGAAGATGAAGTTAGACATCTTACATTGGTGTAGGAGATGGTATACTTGGGGGCCTGCTTTTTATTTTTTTCAAGATTGGGTTTGCTAGCTTTGTTTGTTTTGAATTCGATTGCTTCCATGTTTGCTTTGGTTGGTGGCCGACAAGTAGGCAGTGAAGCAGACCCTCATTGGTGATGCATACATAAATAACCCAAGTCGACTCACCCACAGATACTGCTGTAACAATACCCATCCTCATTGAAAAACCCCATCGGAGACTACTGAAAGGTCTAAAAACCATTCACAAAATAGCAGTAAAATAGACCCGATATTATACACCTGCTGATCGGATAGACTCCTTTGAACTTATTCAAAGGTTCAGATCCATGACTATCAGGTGGATAACACCAAAATCCACAAAATGTTTACCTCTAGCACCCTTAATGAGGAGACAAATAACCCAGGAAAGATTCAGTCATGATACTCCAAGTGTATGTATCTTGCCCGCCTAGAGGTCAGGACAACAGAACTCTGGTCAGAAACAATGTACCGGCCAGAGACCTAGGGCAGCAAGGCAAGCTCACTCATATACATAAGGACTAAAAGACGCATTGGGAGAAGGAGGGGTAACACAGGTTTCTCAGGGATGCATGTGAATCCCCTACCTCCATTTATGTCAGTATCAGAATCATAGACATTTTATCTTAAAATAAAAGAAATATAAACAGCTATAGTACATTTCTCTCATCATTTAATATCAGTACACGGGAGGTTATTCATGAGTATGAATGGATTTTGTAAAAAATTAGCAGACATAATGTATTGTCCACAAGAAGGGATTATTTTTTACTTATAAAACAACTATAGTACCTACCAGTAGTTATGATTATAATGTAAATACTGTAAACATGTATATATGGCATAAATAAATATATACTTTATATAGAAATATTAAACTAAATAATAAAAATAATATATTTCTCACTCATGCGCTAATGTACCATACATTTTTTATACCGTAGACCTGGCTTTCGTTACAATTGGAAGGCCAGTTATCACCAACAAGCAGGCACTTTGAGAACTAATGCAGCTTGTTCTGCTAAGTCCACAAATTTTGAAATAAAATCACTGAGAATTTTGAATTTTCTCCTGCATAACTTTTGCTTTTTATTTTGCCATTTTTTTTTTATTTTGTCTGTTGCTTGGAGCCCAGTGATGGGGGGGGCTGTAGATGAGAGGTTTTTTTTTTTATTTATATTATATATATATATATATATATATGTGGTATAGAAAATTAGTAGACCAGCTGATTCTGCCATATTGGTTTCAACCTTTCAGTATCTTCAGGTGATTTTGGTCAATTGTTTTGTAATACTTTTTTTTTTTTTTAAAGCTCTACATGTTAATTTTTTTATCTTTCCATGTGTATTGAGCACTTTTGTAATACTTATGTTTTCTTGTCCGATTCAACATTGATCATTAACTTATATATTTTCTTTCTTTTTAATCATCTCACCCCAAGCAAGGCAGGAATGCCATTGATATACAGATAGTTACAGAGAGTGAAAGTGAGATAAAAGATTGGGTATGGGGGTGGGACTGAGGAAAGGACAAAAAAAAGAACAGAATTCAAGAAGATAGAAAATGACAATTGATGTTGCATTTAAATCTTTGAATATTGTAGTTATCAGGGAAGTAAGGAATTGAAAGTGAATTCCGCAGGTGAGAAGAGAAACAGTTGAAGTAGAAGTGGTGGTTACATTTAACTAATTCAACAGTAAAAGGGTGGGACCTAGATGCCAATCTAGTAGCACACTTAAACTCATGTAGTCTGGACACTAGGGAAAAAAGCTTGTCACAGCAGTTGCCATGAAAAATTTGTAGAAAAGTCAGAGGGAAGCCATGTTAAGTTGTTAGGAAAGTGAAAGTAAAGATGCTATAGCAGGAGCTATTGCACTGCAGATCCTTCTTTGGATTTTGTCAAGAACCTCAAGATGAGTAGCAGGAGCACTAAACCAGATATGTCAACAGTATTCTATGCACGAACGAATGGTAGATTTTAAATGTACAAACCTCCTGGCACAACACAGTGACCCAACTTCTCTTGCATGAGATGCACCTATTGATTCAATATAGTTGTTTCACTTCAAGTCAGTTGAAAACCTGAGGCCAGGAAGGCAGAGTGTGTTGCTCTCCATGAGTCTAGCATCAGCCTTGCTGATGTCAGGCAGGAATGGTGGTTAAATGAGAGCCATTTTGTTTTGGAGGCATTAAAATTTATGAGCCATTTCCTGCCCCAGTTAACCATTGACTAGAGGTTCTTTTCAAGAGCCTCAGCCAGGTTAACTTTGTCAGCTGTGACAGATTTGCTATCAAGACAAGAGTAAGTGGTAGTGTCATCTGCATAAATGCCTACTTGGGAACTGATGACATCAAGAAGATTATTGATGAAGAGCAGAAAACATGTAGGAACCAGCATAGAGACTTAGGGCACACCCATGTTCATGTGAAAGAATCTGGAAGCGAGACCATTCAAAACAACCTTCATTTCATGATTTGATAGGAATGAGTGGATTAAATCAAAATTGTTCAGTAATACTGTAGCCCTGGAGCTTACGTCGAAAACTAGTGTGCCAAACGCCTTCAAGATATCTAGAGCCACAGCTTGAGCTTTGTTATTATCAAGAGAGTGATAGCACATTAGCACATCAGCGATAGACCTGGCAAAACGGAAGCCATCATGTTTGTCAGTGAGGTAAGATGTGTAACCCTTTCAACATTAAAGCCTCAAATACTTTGCTGAAAAGCAGTAGGAGACTAATAGGGTGATAGAGTCGCCAGAATGTTCTCCAGTTCTTAAAAACAGGAACTACAGAGGACTTCCAGTTAAGTTGTACCAAAGAATGAACACTCAGATAATTTATTTGAAAATTCGAACTGCGGCCCACAGAACGTTTAGACCATGCCATATATATATATATATATATATATATATATATATATATGTGTGTGTGTGTGTGTGTGCACATGAAGGATGCTAAATGATGTAATTTAACGTCTAATAAATGAAAGTGAGTAAATGTCATTGATAAAGATTTTTCTTTGTTTATACATATTCATTTCCTTTTTTTAATGTATTATTTAGTATTTTAATTTGAGAAATTTCTGTAGTTATTTTAAATACCATATTTTCTTGTGTATAATACAACCTTGTGTTTCTGAAGCTAAAAAAAAAAAAAAAAAAAAAAAAAAAAAAAAAAGGCAATAAATTACATTCTTGAGTATAATACCATCTCAAAGTTGTACCATATTATCCATTATATTGTCAGCGTCATAGTTGATGAATATATTTACTTTTTCTAAATAAAAAATAAAAACCAACTCAGTATTTAGCCATTGTGTGTTATCCTGATTTCCATTTCAAAACTCAGTTTTGAATTTTCACAGGAAGGTACTTTGTTGTAACATTAATATTATCAAAAAGAAAATGACACATCTTGGGTATTTCTTTGTTTAATTTTTTTAAAATCAGTTTCAATGAGTTTCCTGTCCGAGACAAAAAGACATTCAATTATGCTGATTCCCAAACAAATATTGCTGACATATCAAATACATTTTGTAAACAATTGTTATCAATGCCTGTCTAGTTTGTGTTTTCTTATCTGTTGTGCTGAGTATTTGCAATCTTGCTGTTTCAAATAAGGTTTTTTAAGCTGAGTAAAAAAATTTCTGGAAATATACATGTGTATAATATAGATTTGCATTTTGTAGGTGTCATATGACAAACTTATTAAACTTCCCAAGAATACAATATTTGAGCTTTTTCTCACCATCTTTGTAATCAGAAATATAATGTGGAATTCGTCGTCGGAGATCTTCAAGTATACCATTCATGAATCCACAATTCTTAAAGATGGACTTCTGAAATAGAAAATGTAAAGACTTAAAGAATCTTGACTTAGAGCAAAAACCGATTTAGAAGTCACAATGAAAATCAAATTATTTATCTTCCACAAATCCTTAACATCGCAAAATAGAAATTGACTTTAGACCAAATGTGACCATTCAAAATATGAATTTCCAAAATATATTTGGCAAACATGGACATGCCTTAAGATGTATTGTAAAAAGGACAGTTTTCCCATGACACCACTTTTTATTGATTTATTTATTTTTTCTTTTAAGTACCTTCACTCTTCAGCAATGTTTCTTTTAAAAATGTGATTATTAGAACTGGAATAAAACCTAAATGTATGTTGAAAGTCAATTTATATATTTTTCTGTTTTTGTGAATTTACAACAAAAATATTAAACGCTATTTATTAAATTGTTTATTTTATATTTATAATATTCTAAAAACTAATACAATTAAAACTAATGTAATACAATATTTATTATTTACCAATTTGTAAACGAAAAAAATGTGAAGACAATTTTTTTTATTTGCCAATTTATAAACATTTACTAATTTAATAAAATATGTAAACCAATTATAAGGAAATTATTTAACATTTTATAAAGTTTGAATGATTTGGTAATTAGCTGATGTTTTGACAAGCATTCCAATAAATAATATAATAGTGTAAATAAATAAATAAATAGTATTTGTTATTTTTGTTGTCAATTCTCAAGAACAAAGAAAATGTATAAATTCTTTCATATGTTTAGGTTTTATTATAATTCTAATTATTGATTTTTAAAAAAATAAATATTTGCCAAAGAGTGAAGGTAGTTAAAGTGGTGTCATGGGAAAAATCATCCTTTTGACACTTTTCTTATTGCAGGCATGTTTCCTCATGTTTGTCAATATTTTCTTTTTGTAAAATTAAAATGATTATGCATTCATTCAAAATCAAGAGCAGATTTTTTTTTTATTCAATAAAATTTGATCAGATCAACATTTCCAAATCATTTAGTCAGTGTTAACTACTACATGCAGTTTTTTTTGGTCACTGCTAGCTTATTCTCAATACTATACAGAGATGCTAGGTTCCCCAGGTTTCTTGAGATCACTGGCACTACTTAAGTGATCTGTTCTAACAAATAGGGAAGAAATTTTTTCAGAGAATTATCTTTGTAATTTAACATTCACTAGAACTTTCTCTGCCCACAACCTTTGTCAGAAGAGAAAACTGATTTTTTTTTTTCATTTTAGAAGTAGTGATGTTCATAATATAAAATTCAGTTTCCACTAAACTTGATTTCTTGTTGAGTTATCTGTACTTTGTTTTTATTTACACTTCAAGTTTAAAACTGTGTTCTTGATAACTGCATACTACTAATGTCCTTTTTCTTGCTTTATAAAATTAAGTTATCAATGATGTAAGCACAGTTTTAAATTGACAATTTTGAGAAAAATGATTTTTCCAGATACAAGTCTTACTATTTAATATCTAACCCACAGCTGGGGCTGAAGGAGAGGGATTCTGTGCCATTTGTAAATAAAAACAAAGTACAGATAACTCTAAGAAGTCAGGAATTGATTTGACACTGTATTTAAATTATGGATAAGAGGACTCAAAAAAAAAAAAAAAAAAAAAAAAAAAATCCTATTAAATGCTATGGATAAAGGAAAGTGTCATGAATCCTCATCCATAAAAAGTATTCACTCCTCAATTTTTCCCTATTTTTATGAACAGGCCAGTCAACCTCAGCAATACTGTGGATTTTTTCCTACTTCAAAAAAAAAAAAAAAAAAAAAATTTTTTTTTTCATAATACCAGATTTTAGAATGAGCGTTAATGGATATGAAAAATTGGATTTATGAGGATGTGTTGAAAAATTCTGCCTGACCTATTTCTCAAAATTTGATCACATTTCAGATTTTTTTTTTTTTTTTGACAATCATCTTGATATGGCTGAGAATTTTTCAGCAGCCACTTATCAAATATTTTTATGCTTTGACCTGCAATCACTCGTAACTTTGCAGTCAGGCAAAGTAGACATTACATTCTTAGACAAAATGTCATAGGTTGCTGTCGGTCATAATAATGAAGTCACAACCATTCACTTGTTCTTGGAGAGAGGAATGTGTTCTTCGTTGAATATGAAATTCGTGAGTTATTGGCAGGAAGTGTCAAAACAAGAATTTAACGATTAGAGTGATATCTGAATAAGTAGGCCTGATGAGCATGGACACATTCCTTGTTCAAAGCTTGGCACACATCCTAGTGTTATTGACTTGCTGCTCATCTAGAAATACTGATAGTGCTCCTCTAAAGAACTTGTAACTTTCAAATAAACAGGATCATTATAAAATATCTCTTATTTGAATGAAAAATGATATACACTTGATTAGTGGTTTATCAGAAACAAGGCTTGACATAATAGCCATTAGCACCTCTGTGTAATGGTAAGATAAGCCATTTCAATTAAACAGAAATAGTTGACATTCACTGACCAAGTGACCAGTGCTACTGTTGGTTGATACTTACACAATCTTTTTCTTAAGTTTTTTTAAGGAATTTAGGTCCAGTAGCTGTTATTGCTCTTTCAATTGTAATGGTGGTTTCCTCCCTAACCTTTTGTTCAAAGTAGTGTGGAAAGTCAACATCTTCATTATGTTGTCATTTTTTGAGTTACATGAGCTATCCCTTTTAGTTGTTGCTGCTAAGAGGGCTTGAAGAATGACACTCCCAGAACATGTTGAAGGCAAGAAGTAACAAAGGAAAGCAGCAATTAATTGATTTGTTTTCTATGGCTTATCAACCCTTTATGGGTTATTGAAAGCCAGAAAATATTTTTAGATTGTAATAATCTTTTTTTTTTTTTTTTTGAGGGGTGGGATAATGATTTAGTGATACAAGTCTTACTAATTAACCCATAGCTAGGGGAGGAGAAGAGGTGGATTCGTAACTTTCCCAAGGGTATCTGCGTGTAAGTGAATATAACAAACCCTACTAGAATTGGAACTTGGATTCAGACCTATTATACCATCTGCACATTCAGTTTATAAGATTTGATGACGTATAGTCCACTCTAAGAACTACAGAGTTCATTTGCTTCAGGTAATTTTTAATTAGTGATCAGGGAATACAAAAAATAATTATCTATCTTTGCATATCATCTTCTGTTAGTATAAGTAGTGAGCTTGCTAGGTTGGTCACAACTTCACCAATGCCTTTTTTGCAGCCATGTATATTTCGATGGGCATAGAGATGGGTCTGGACTGAAAAGTTGCAAGACCTACCTGGAGTTGGGTGAGGTGAAGTACATATAAAGTGTCATGTGACATTCTACATAGGTAGGAAAATAAAGCTAGGCAAACAAGTTGCACATCCCTTGCCTTATCTCTCACAGCTCAAGAGATACCATCTCCACTTGGAAATGCTAACATTGAAATAAGAGGCTTTTTTCTTTTCTTTGTCAATATTTCTCTTCTTTCTCATTCCTAATGCATTATATGGTAACATGGGCAACTTAGGTTTTATCATCTACTAAAACACTGTGTGCGTATGTGTGCATGTTTATTGGTTCAGAAAATGAGAGTGGCATGCAGAGTTCAAATCCTAACTGAAGCAGCTGCATTCACTTTCACACAAATACTCTTAAAAAGGTATGAATTCATTTCTTCTCTCTCCAGTTTGGAGTAAATAGTAGGGTAGACTGTGCTGTCCAGCTTCAGTTGGCAACCATTCTAGGAGAAAGACAACTGAATTCAAAACTGGGGACCCAGTAAAAAAAAAAAAAAAAATCCTACTAGCTGTATAAACCACAGTACCAATACCCAGCATAGTGGGGCAGTGTTCCTATACTACACAGGGGAGTCTATAGGGTTAATATCCTAAAACTGTCCCACAGTTGTATATAGATGTTGTATTGCACATATAACTTAGAAATTTCATATTTCTTCAAACAGTTCTATTTCACTGTTACGTTAGCCATTCGGCTGCATTCATGCTGGCAAAGAAATGTTGAGTGGAATATTCCTTTTCCTTCTTACTGAACCTTATTCCTGTAGAACTTAAAACATTGCATTTTGAAGAACATTGTTTTGTCAAGCCAAAATTAATTTTCTGGCTTCTATTAACTATTTTGAAATTCTTGATAAAATACAAAGAAGAATCTGCAATGTTATTTGTCCAGACCTGGCATCTTGGCTTCAGTCACTTCCCACTGCCATAACATTAATTCTGTGCCTTTTCTATAAATATTTTCATAGGAATTATTCTGCTCTTATTTGCAGATGGGCTTTGTCTTCTGCCTGCATGCAGAATAACTATAACTGAGGAGTAGTCTGGGTAAATAACTATATCACAATCCACTGGAGAGAATGCTTTTAATTCCATTTTTAATGCTTGAACCATTCACTCCACAATTCTATTTGACTGTGGGTGGCAAGGTGGTGTTTTGTATGGAATGCAACCAATACATTTTAACCATGCACATAAACTTCACAAAACTCTGGTGCATTGCTGGAAGCCAAGGTTTTTGGAATACCATTTCTCAAAAACACTATCCTCAGCACCTGCTTCATAGTAGTGGATTTCCTATCCACAACTTTAATAACTTCAGGCCAACCTGAATATGAGTTTACTAATATCAGTTCTACAGCTTTACTATTGACATGATACATATGTACTCAAGTACACAGTTCCATTTCTTTTGGCCAAGAGTAACTTTTAGTTTGCTTAAATTTCTTTATTTCTGAACACTGTAAGCATTTTTTAACATACTCTTCCATATCTCTCGAATAGCCTGGTCACCATGCTTACAACATTAACCACATTTGTTTAGCCAATATACCTCCATGTATATCATTGTTAATGGCTTTAATTACTTCTTTTCTCAGAGACTGTGGCGGTACAATATCACCATTACATATAATTCCTTTTTCTATTGTTAATTTGTGTCTTGACTCTTTATAATGCCTCCCAGCCATAGAGCAATTAATCCATGTATTTCTCTTTATTCTATCCCCAATTCTATTCAACACTGGATCTTGCCTAGTTCACAACCTAAGCCAATTTAAGGGTAATACGTCCATTTCTATCCAGTGTAAAATCCTATCCTCACAATTTTCACTTGCTTCAACTTTTTTACTGTCAAAATTTAACTGAGATAATGCATCCACAAGCAGAATAGTATTTCCTTTAATATATACAATGGCAAAGTCAAACACCATAAGCTTAAACACCCATTTTAATATCCTGGCAAATGTGACCTTTGGGAACTTTCTTCTGGAGTTGAATATAAATTTCAAAAATTTATGATCAGATTTTAATAGAAATCTCAGCAAAAAAAAAAAAATGTCTTGCTCTTTTCGTGCTCTACACAATCGCCAATGTCACCTTCTCAATATTCAAATAATTCATCTCTGCAGATGTTAGTTTTCTAGACAAGTACATCGCAGGGTGATCCTCCTGTGACAATATTGCAGCTATAGCACAGTCACTAGCATCCGTAGTTAATGTCAATTCTTTCGCTAGGTCAAAGATTTTAACAACTAGTTTGTTTATGAGTGCCTTTTTTAATTTCTTAAAATACTGTATTCTTCTTCCTTATTTTATTAAATGGTTCTGCAAGATCACTATGTTGTGGAAGATATCTGTTATAGAAATTGGTTAATCCTAAAAAACTTTATTTCTGGGTCTGATATTTTATTAATGTGTTTATCATCTGGTGATATGCCATCTTTGGCTATTTGATATCCTAGGTACAAAATCTTTTCACAATTAAACTTGCATTAATTGCGATTGTCATACCCACACTACTTAATTTTCTCAAAACTTGCTCCGTTTTACTTTTAAGGTCTTTACTGCACGTACCAATGCCAATGTTGTTTTAATATACAATTATATTTTTAGTCCTCTCTAAAACTTTTTAGATAGGTTTTTGGAAATTGTGATGTTTTTACTCCAAATGGCAGATGAGTCCATCTTAGTAATCCAATAGGAGTATTCATTGTGGTGACTTGGAACTTGCTATCAATTTTTATTTGATTTTATGCTGACTTAAGATCAACTTTAGCAAAGTATTTCATATCAGCAAACTCATGGCATGCTGTTTCAGTGTTTGACAATGGGAATGAATCCAAACAAATCTGTTGAGTCATACCCACCTTATGATCACCACAAATACTTAAATCTCTATTGGAAGCCCGATTGCTACCACCCTGGCTAACTTTTTCTAATATTCCCTGCTCCATTTTGTTCAGCTTAGCAACCACCAAGGGTAGTATGTGAACAGGAACTTTTTGGGTTTGAAAATACATGGGTTGACCGCTTTCTTTAAGACTTGTATCAAGTTAAAATAATCCAATATCTGTTTCTACAGACTTCAAGGAATTTACTAGCTTCGATGTAAGCATTCTTAACATGTCAATTCCTAAAAGATAGTGGTTTTTGATGTTTTCTACCATTATGATGGGTATTATCTCAAATCTATTTTTGTCTCAAATGTGCCTTCAAAGTATCCTAAAATTTTGATGATTGACCCATCAAACTGTTTCAACGAGAGATTACTCGAGTTTGGTTTAACCATCCTTTCCCAAAAATTCCTCAGTATCAACTTAACATCATTTCCAGTATCCACCTTCACGAGTAAAGTTACTCGTTTCAACTTCATTATTTCCCTGCTTTTCTCAAATACTTCTGTACTTTCAGTTGGAGGATCTATTTTCCACTTGCTTTTCATATGGGCATACAGTCTGGAAACAATTCCTCTTTTTACGCAAAGACACCATTTCCCAAAGGCCAGACACTTATTTTTGCTCTTTTTATGTTTCTTATTGCAATATCTGCATACCTTTAAGCTTTTTGCAGCATTGTAAGTCTCCAACAGATGTAGTCTTGTCAAGAGAAGATAACTCTCCCATAGGTATAGTGATACTGCCTTTTATACAGAACCTAATTTACATATCACTACATTAACCTTTCATAATTAAACTTTTTGCTAGTTTCTTGATAACTTTATAGATACCTGTATTTTAAAACTAACAAATGTACAATATTATATTACAGTTATCTGATAATGAGCTTTTATCAAAGTATTATAAGCTCAAGTATAGAAGAAGTGGCTCCCAATTGAGTCATGAGTGCATAGAATGTGGTTAGTATTGAAAGACTCAACAATTCTGAGCAAAGGAGTTATTAAGAGGAAAATATAGGAGAATGGTTAATTGGATTAGAGTCTGATGGGAAATGTCTGGTTTAAAAATATTCATTTAAACTTATAAGATAAAGGATGGTCTTCAAAAAGTTTGGATTCAAATTAAACTGACAGCCTCGGCCCAATTCCATAATGCCAAGTTGGCATAACATGACTAATGAGTTTGCATAAAGTCCACAGGATTTTCCGTAATTTTAAGTTTTTTTTTTTTTTAGCAACCAATTCAGGACATTCATGTTGATTTCAATGTAAATTTTGGAAACTTAAAAAACCAAGCCAAAATTGAAATGTAGTTCGTAGTACAGCCATCTGGGTCACATAAAGTCTTAAGCTAATTAATCAAGTCTATTCCCGAAGTGGAAGCCTATATAAATATAGTACACATACACAGAAATGAGTAGAGTTCATGAGATAACCAGAGATCTTCAGAGTGTGTGCTTTGTAGCTGAATGATAAAGAAAACCAGTAAACCTACCTTTCATCGTGCATTAGAGAAAAACCACCATAGAAGATATTCACTGATAAGACTTTTGCACCCCCTGCATTAATAAACATCTCCCAGTGCCTCAAGGGTAGAAAAGGAGGGATTAGGATGAAACAACCTCATAGCTGTTATATGACTTTTACATTTCACCTTTAATTAGATTGTTAATTTTTCAACAGCAACTATTGGCAGGTTGATATCTTTTTCTGCAAGATCGCCTGATGTTGAAGAAACAGTACAATAGAAATGTCACCCAAATCAACAAAACCACGGTGGATAAAGGCAGTTATACAATGAAGAAAATGCACTAAACTATATGAATTTTGGTGAAAGAAATTAACCAGTGAAATTGATTTCACTAAATGTAAGTCAACCAAGTTTAACTACAACTAATTGGGCTACCTTTGAAAGCTTACTGCTACTAGGTTTTCAAGTGAATAGCTTCTAAGTAGTAACCCAAGGTAAACCAATTTATTTAAAAAGATAACCCTACCCCTAGTCATAACTAAAGAAATTCAAAATTTAGTATTGCTGCAGAATATAAAACTGTTTTCTGAAGTAGAGAAACATGTAATAAACTATAGCAAAAGTGAGGGCTCCTTTTATTACATGTTATAAAAGGAAAATGATCACTCCTACTTAATGTCCACTTGTTTCTTAATCAAATATTGATAATCTATAAGCAGGTCTTATGAGGTTGAACTATAAATAATGAATTGGATGATATTTGAAAGCCAGGTGCTATTAAATTTTGACTTTTTTCATTAGTAGCCTAAGTTAAGCCAGCTTATTTTAAAAATGTAAAACAACCCCCAAAATTCAAAAGTAATGAAATACAAAATTTACTAGCACAGAGCTTTTCAATATACAAGTATGTTTTATAGAGTAGAGAAATATATTGACAATAGGAAAAAAAAAAGGACCCCTAACTTAATGTCCACATGTTTATTAAACATGAAGGAGTTGTAATCAACATTTTCTAAGGTTTGGCTACAAATAATTAGATTTTATTTGAAAGCCAGGCACTATTGAAATTTGATAGTCTTTTCATTGATAACCCAAGTTAAGCTAGCAAATTGTAAAAATGTAGACCCTCACCCCCCCCACAAAAAAAAAGTGTCACAGGTAGAATTATAAAAGAAAACTGAGCCTCTACTTAATATCCAATCCAATTATCTATTAATTGAAAATTGATGTTTTACAAGCGTAGGTGCTATATTGAACCATAGGTAGTGAATCAGCTTAAATTTGAAAGCCAAGAGTTACTAAATTTTCAATTTGTTTATTCTAGCCCAAGTTAGTCCATGTCATTTTAAGTCAAAGTAAAATTTAGTAGCACTTATCTTTCAAAAGTAGCTGAAGACATCCACCTTAGAGTAGGGTCTTGTTAAATATTCTTTTATTAAATTGATTTTCAAAACTTTCTTTTTTTAATATATCCCTAACTTTATATGCACAAAAACCTACAATGTTCTGAAAAATTACTGCAAAGAGAATAAATTTCAGAAATGAATAAAAGTTCTGTCTCTTTACTTATCTCGTCTCACAGACTCCCTTTTACTACAAAGTTAATATTCAATAGGTACTCATATTTGTGGCCTTGTTTTAAATTAATATTTATTGACTTACCTTCCCAATATTGTCATCTATATGCAGATTTGCATTCGATGTTGAGGACATTTTATCTGCATATTTTTTCATCACAGCAAAGTACTGCTCCTCGTTGTAGGCATGGAGGATTTCTTGCCGAAATTCAGAATTGCTGAATAAAGTCGCAAATGTACGACCAATCTCATAATCAGTCTTTGTTGATTTCTAAGAAAAGAAAAATAAACACAATAGCATCTAGGTCTCATCATAATCCTAAATTCTATGCTAACATTTTCTTGCTTGTGGAACTCCCTTCCAGTTCATTACATCCATGCCACTTATGATCTTCAAAAATTTAAATGCAACAATCTTGTCTTTTGAAATGCTGTTCCTTTATTACCCTTTCTCCACACTTTCTTTTCCCCTCTCAGTAACCTCTTGTGTCTTAGTAACATTATTGCCTTCCTTGGAATGAAATGATTAAAAAAAGTAAAATAATATTGTTGCTTTTCCCTGTTGGTCTGTCTTGTAACATAAGAAGCTTGGAAACATTCTGAATATTGTTGCTATATTGGGTCTGGTGCTTCTATGTATTTAGAGTGTGTTGATAAAATCCAAAGTAGAATCTGCAATATTATTGGCGATGACCTAGAATCTGGGTTCAGTCAGAAGAGAACATTCTTTAAGAGTGGTTTCTGTTTTATTCCTTAATATATCATTAGTTTGCCATCATAAATAATTTCTTATAATGGCTAGCTGCTTCTACCTAAGTATGTCTGTTTGCTAGAGTGGCTAGCTAATCCTTGTTGCAGATGCCAGCTCAGGGACATTTCTGCACTCACAGAGCACACTTGTGGTTTTTATGGCAACTATGCTGAGCAAACCTTAGTTAGAGTTTCTGGGAATGAGTGCATAATCATACATGAAGAGCAATTTGAACAATGCCAATACACTCCAACCCTCAGTCATAGTGGCTTGTAACTGCTAGCACAACCATTGACAAACAAATTTATCTATCCAGTTTCACTCACAAGGCTAGGGTTGACCTATGGTTTCCAAGAATTTTTTAAAAGGTGCTACATGCGGTGATTGCCTCCCCAGGCCAATAACATCAAGAAGCCACCTTCTTGACAAATTGATTATAGTAAGATTTGAACCCGAGTCTCAGGATGGAAAGCAAGTGATCTAACCAATTGGCCACATGACAAAGGCAAGAGACTAAAGACTTCCCGACATATAAGCATTAAAATATATTCTACAAATTGCATCCAAAATGATTGTATTACTAGAGAAAAACCTCTCTAGCAACTAGCCAAGTGTAGTGTTTGTGCAACCAAACAAATAAAACATTTTCCTTGTGTGCATTATCATTACTTACCAAATGCTCAATGGCATTGAAATGAAACAACCACTACCCCAAAATAATTACAAGCACCTGTTGTAGTCTGGACCCAAAAGAATGCAAAGGTGAAAATATTTCATGAACGTCTGCAGTGGAAAAGAACTATAGCAAATATTAAAAAGCCATAAACCAATTTCATACAATCACATAAGTACATTTTATAATCCTTTAGGATTAAGGAATAAGGTTTATATGAGGGGAAGTCAAAAAGTAATGCCATTTGTCTTACTGTACAAGAAAGGAACATAAACATGTTGTACATCAAGATACAACTATACATCATAGGTTCACATCCCTATATCTCAATATAGTCACCGCCTCTTTCAATGGTATTGTTCCACCTAATGAGGGCATGTACCCCAGTTTTGTAAAACTCAACCAGCTGATAATGTAACCAATTTCTTACAGTAATTTTCATTTAGTCATTGCCACCCGACTTAGCACCCTCAGACTCTTTGGTCCAATGAAAGGCAATGTCTATTGTATATACTGCTGTATAACCTAACTTCATGTATAGTGCAACCCCTGAAATTTTTGTGCATGGATTTTAACCCTTTCAGAAAAAAAAATTACCTGTATAGTGCAACTGGTCACCCCCCCCAATACCTGTGTATAGTGCAACCCCCATTTTTGAGAAAAAAAAAAAAAAAAAAAAATCAAAAATCACTTCACTATAAATTTTACTATACTTGCGTATATATGCAAGTGAAAACAGCTGTAAGGTATTAGCTACACTAGCAGCCAGCCGAGTTTTATGAAGCTAGGATACATGCTCTTATTTGTAGGTGGAACACTGCAATTGAATAGGTGGTGACTATGTTGAGAAGATTGGATGTGAACCTGTGATGTATAGTTATGTCTTGATACATCTTATTGTTCCTTATATGTTATATAATAAAAGAAATAGAATTACTTTTTGACTCATGATTATAAACATATTTACTGGATACATTGTTTTTTAATTAGATGTCTTAATAAAGAAGAACTGTCTCTTGGCTGTGATTAAAGCTGAATTCCTGTTACATTAAGGTAGTTGAGCCTTGCTTTGTTTAAGGACTTTTGTGGCTGAGCAGACAATTTGCCCTTATGTAAAAGGAATACAGGCTCAATCCCTACTGAGAGGAACATGGGCCTTAAGATATGATTGCCTTGGCTGATACAAGTCAATTACACTGTTTAAAATAAAAGTAAATTTGACTCAGACATTTAGCCATTAAATATAATATTTATAATAAGATATAAATATCAGATTAAAAATACATTAATTCCGCTAAAAATAGTATTTTATAATTATTATTCAAGCACAGTAATAAATGCGTAATCAACCAAGTACTCCCCTCCATCATTACCAGGTAATAAGTTGCTCTAAAAATCTTCCTCTCTCTTATATATATATATATATATATATAATACACAAACACACCCAAGTTGTTTAAAAGCATATTGGATCTGATGACAGTTTCTCTTGCAAAAGGGGACACAGGTTCAAATCCTGTCAGAGGATGCATTTTTCTTTAAGATTTCTTGAAAATAAAATTTTTAAAAAAATAGACAGAACATCTAAAATATGGGTATCCACTAAAAATAATGTTATATATATATATATATATATATATATGTGTGTTTGTGTGTGTCTTTTTTTTTAAAGAATTCCATAAAAATTGCAAATGAAAACAATTTAAACTCCCCCTTTCGTTTTCAGTTGGTCAAATCAAGATTTTCTTACCTCCTTTGTGGGTGTTACAACTAAAACAATAAAGAATATTTCCTGAGCAGTTGTACCAAAGTTGGCTGGCTGGCGAAGGCGGGCAATCCCAACTTTACTTGTTGGAACTGTAGGCATGCTACACCTTCAAGAGAACAAACAAGATAACAGTAAACCAGATTAAAAACAATGGAACAAAATAAAAACAGGCAAAAACAACAAAAAAAAAAATGACAGATTAATGGCAAAAAATGAATGACAGCTGAAGGTCTTAGAGAAGATCACCCGTCTTCAAACTTCATAGATGGGTACTACGGAATCTCAGAATTAGAAGATTTATTCTAAAATCTGACAATATTTTTAAACAACCTAATAGCTGAACCCTTGCATATCAAGAATTGTTGATTAATTTGTAAAACTAAAGAAAAGTTGCATTGTTAAAAAGAACCAGAAAACAAAATGCAAAATTGATGTGTGTGCATATGTGTTTATATAAAGATACAGAGAGATATAGACAGACATTTTTAACTTCAAAATGGTAGGGAGTGTGTGTGTGTCTATTAGGGTTTCACAGTGCATGAGTGTAGTGTAATGAACATTTTACATAGACCATTGGCTATTAATATATAAGATTTTTTTTTTTTTTGGATAATCCAATAACCAGTTCATTAATCCTTTGTAATTTTAAGAAACAGTTTGTGTGAACTTGTAGGATGCAATCATGGGATATAATGCATGATGGAAAACTCCTTCAGAAATATCTAAATTGTCAGCAGTATACAACTACTTTTACAGATTAATGGCAAAAAAATGAATGACAGCTGAAGGCCTTAAAGAAGATCACCCTTCTTCAAACTTCATAGATGGGTACTACAGAATCTCAGAATTAGAAGATTTATTCTAAAATCTGACTATATTTTTAAACAACTTAATAGCTGAACCCAGAGTCAGTGCAAGGGTGTTGTGTCTCCCCATCTATGATATCCAGTCCACCACTATTACATCTCAATTTTCATAAGGTAGTACTTCATATAAAATACAAATTTTATTCTAACCTAATTATGTACAGTAATGGATCATATGCAATATAGGCGAGCAATTCAACTAGAAAAATTGAAATATCTAAATACAAATTATTCAGAATTGCTGCCATCAAATTGTAAGTACTATTTTCCCCAAGTGGGTAGGTGGAGCTTTGTTGTCAAGGTTCTCAGTTGTATCTTTTTGAGACAAAATTCTTTCCATTTCTTAGCACTTAGTGCCAAATTAGTTTCAGATCAAAGAGCAAGACATGGCTGGCAGAGCTGACTAATGCTGCATTTAATCCATCAGGAAAAAAAAAAAAAAAAAAAAAAAAAAAAAAAAAAAATATATATATATATATAAAGAGAGAGACAGACCCCCAGAATGATTGCAAAATCCTTCCTCCCTGGTCGGGTGGTTCAGTAGGTAGTATGCACCAGCAACTATTGATAACTAAGATTATCCATTTTTCCCAGGTTCCTCTTTTTCAGCTCTGTTACTTAACAGACACAATCTGCTAAGATGACATATGCACAAAGGTTTAAGAAGAAATAATCCACATACTTTTAGGGCAGGCAGTCATTTTATAAAAATCTATAACACCAAGCTCTAAGTTGTCAGCATCTTATTCTTCAAGAATTTGCTCTGATATTTAAGCTTTTAAATAAGAATCAACCATCAGTAGTTAAGAAAAAAACTATATGATCACGATTGCAATTAGAGATGTGGGAGGAGGAAATGTGCTGACTTTTGCTCAAAGATTCAAATAAAGCAATGGGAGCAAGGCCATTTTTTTTTCTCTCTCTCTCTCAATTAGTAATACCATAATTTTAGTTAGCAGTTCAAGGACAATATATGAAGCAATTATAATTTTAGAGGCAGGGTGAGGAAAAAAACAACACAAAGGTGTCACAAATTCTGAGAAACTAAGCTACTAACCAAACATGGTACCACAAAATAAAGGAATTGGGCTCAACTCAGATACTAACAGTAGGGAGAAACTGAATGCTAAATTTTAAAGGTTCCTGATTGTTTTTATCTGATCCTCATAAAATGAACTTTATTCTACTGTAAACATTTTTTTGTTTTTAAATATAATTTTTTTATTTTTTGGAATGTGACCAAGCTGTATAGAATTTTGACACAAGATTTACATAGTAGTTTTAGAAGATAATGTTTTTGAAACAACAAAAACCAATGAAAAAAATGACGACAATGACAACTTGATTTATTTTGAAAATTCATAGCAGTAATGATTTTTGACAAATGATACAGCTTAGTAGCATTGTCATAGATTGAAGCCAAGAGGACAGATCTTGTTCTGTTAAGTTCTTGGTTCCAGGAAAAGTAGAGGGGACTGAAGCTCTCCCTATCCCTAACAGTACTATGTATGTGGACCATTTTGTTTCAAGCATTCACCATTTTAGAATTGACATTGATAAATAACTTTACTTTTAATTGCATCTGGGTATACAAAAATTGACCATTCCCACTCCCCTGTTGAGAGGTTGGAGGGCAGAATCAAAGGGAAACAGAATGAAAAGGAAAATGTGAAAGGCAAAAGGTATACTACATGCTAATTAAAGTAGGGATACCATAGCTTAACCACTATATGATAATAGCTGGTAGCTCGTTTCTGAATACACCTGTCTGCTAGGGTAGCTAGCTAATCCTTATTGCAGACATCTGCTCAGGCACATTTTTGCAACCCCCCCACCCCAACACCCAATACTTACATAATCAGCTTGTGGTTTATGCTGCAACTATGCTGAGAAGACCTTAGTATTTGGAAGAGAGCACATCTGACATGATCAGTAGCTGAACAAAGCCAGTGCACTCAAACCCTTAGTCACTATGATTTGTGACTATGTGCTAGCACAACTAGCACCTGCTTCTGAACAATTTCATCTTCCCAATTTCACTTATAAAACTTAGATCAACCAGTCATACAGTTTTCAGGCACTTTTCCAAAGTGAGTCACTGATTATGATCACCTCCCCAGTTCGATATTATCAAGAAGTTACTTCTTTGACAAATCGATCATGGTTAGATCTGAACTCCGGTCTCAAAAACATTCTAACCACTCAGCCAACATTTTGATTACGTAATTATTTTCTCTTAGAGTTACATATATTTATTTTAGTTGCTGCTAATCCTCGAGTGATGTGGTTTCTGTTATTTCGTATAGATCTTTGATTCTGTAGTACAAAGTTCAAAGAAGAATGATCCTCACTGAGACGTACAGGGTTAAATAGTTAATTAAATGTGACTGTATGTGCACATCCAAGCCCTAATAAAGGGTGCCAAATGAATATTTTGACAAGACCCAGTGAAAGAGAAAAGAAATATGGCTCGAGAAAGTGTTCTTGTACAATTAGCACTGCAACCAGAAATAATCATTTTTTTTTTCAAATATAAGGATTAAGTGTTCCAAATCATTATATAAGATTAGGGGCTCCAATTAAAACGTGACAGTGGAACAGTCAGAATTAGAGCAGTTACATAGACCCTTGATATATATCTCAAATCCTGTTCTTTCTTTGTACAAATTTTTCAAATAAAAAAAAAGATAAAATCTTTGAGTATATAATCTCAGACATTCCTTAGGTCTCATAAATGCATACAAAACACAAGAAACAGTTACAAAGTCAGTGGAGAGGTTGAAAGACTCGCTGAACTAGGAACACCAAAAATGGGCATGATGTTTGAGAGCAGAGGTAGCATGCACCCACCCACCCAAGATATTTGTTAAATATATGGAAAAAAAGAAAAATTCTAAACAAATACTGGAGTACACACAGATACAAGAAAAAAAAAAAAAAAGGAAGCAAATTAATCCTAAGAAAACCATATCTCCTGCTATGGTGGTGGTGCAGAGTGATGAGTCGTGCAAAGAAGGTCATGTCATTATACTTATGAATTGATTGGTCAACATAAAAATTATATGCAAAATTATACTTACATTGTGCATATCCAGCTTTGATCATAGTCAAAACCACCTCCACTTGCCAGGCAGCTAGACTGAAGTGTTCTGCGCATCTGATGAACTAGCATTGAAAGGAGGAGAATTTTCAACAAGTGCACCAAAACAAACAAAATACATTTAAAAAACACAAGCAAACAATGAAAAAATAGCAAAACATGAGAGAGAGAAAGAGATAAATAAGAGAGTTGTGAATAACAAATTTAAACAAATATATTATCAGCCATAATTTTGAGAAAAGTTATTAATATATCTAACATTATTCAGGTGCTTAAATCTGTAGTTAATGAAACACATTTTAACCAGATGAGGTTTATTATCTAATTCCTTTAGTCACTTCTAATTCTACTCAAAGAAAAAAAAAAAAAATTAATCAAAATTTGTGGTCAGTTGAAAGTAATGACCATAATTAAAAATCATGAGGACAATTTTCTTTTTCTTAAATATCAGAGCACTGCAAAAGTTTGTGCCTGATTTTCAGGAGCACTCTGAGGAAATGACAATGGAGAAGCTACAAGAACTACAGACACAGAGGCACTTGGAGGTTTTTGCAGGAAATAGGTGAGGTGTAGGAGGTTATCTCTACAAGAGAGATAACGGAAATTTTGGGAATGTTGGAGAAATTTTTAAACTTTATACAAAAGAAATACCCAGAAAAAGTTGCAAGTGGGCATGTGACAGTTGTCTATTTCAGAAACATTCTGAAAGGCAGAATGAAACAGACCTCATTGGACAGATTTTTTATTGAAAACCCCTGCAGAGGAAAGTGAGGAAAGTGTGTTGAAAAGGGCAAAAATCAATGATTAAGATTCACATTCAGTTCAGCCTTTCTCCTCCATCTCTGTCAGCATCTTAAAGTCATCTAATCTCAAAGGTAAATACTGCACATTATACTTAATAAACCCATTGCTGTACATTCTATTGCATTGTGTTTTTATACAATATTCATTATTTATAAGTACATTTTTCTCATTTAAAAACATGTAAAAAAAAAAAAAAAAAAAAAAAAAAAGGAAAAAGAAAATAAATTGCAGTATTTTTTGGGGGGTCCCTGATGGATTAATGGTATTTCAATTTATTTCAATGGGGAAAATTGATTTGAAATACAAGTAATTAGTGTAATGAACTCCATGAATGATGGAGCTCATCATGAATTAAACTCATGTCAAGGTACCACTATATATACCTAGGATGGGGTTTCAAGCCTGGAATGGCAATCTCCCTAGAAATGGGGTTGCTGTAAGAACATGTGGATACTTGGGCTACCATGAATGTGAGTTGGGTGTCAGGAAGAGTATTCAGCCAGGGCCCACATTACTTTGTGTGTGTGTGTGTGAGAGATTAATCCCAGTCGAGCCTCAACAAAATATGGGGGTACCCCCCAACCAAGAAAAAAAAAAAAAAAAAAAAAAAAAACAGTGAAAACATAACTGTATTTATGTCTTGAGCAATGTTATATATTTACGTTCCAGATATGCTCACAAAATTAATGCCATGGGTTATGCAATATAATTAGCCATTTCTGATGACAATTTAGGATCTTTGGTAAAAAAAAGTTACAAATCTTTCAGCATTTATAATTTTTTAATTTGGGGGGAAAAAGAATATAAAAATCTAAATTTTAGTTGTAAATAAAATGTAAAAAAAGATTTTAAATATATAATGCAATACCATATATACATGTATATAAAACTTCATGTCTAGTACAACCCCTGTATTTTTTTTTTGCTTGAATTCTAACCTTTCCAGAAAATTTTTTTTTAATTTAATTGATCCTGACCAGGCTTCTCAAGTTTAGTCATTTTCTCACTACACTTTTCTACAAATATCTTCATGGCAACTGCTCCGAGAAGAATTTAAGCGTTATACTAGATTGGCATCGAGGTCCCATTATTTTACTGTTGGAATAACTAAATAGAATCACCACTTCTACTCCAACAGTTTTTCTTGCACTTCCCACCTGTGGACGTCCCATTTCCTTACTTCCCTGATAACAATCTTCAAAAATTTAAATGAAACATCAACTGCCATCTGTCTTTTTGAATCCCATTCATCTTTTGTCTATTCCTTGATCTATTCTCAGTCTTCTCTTTCACTCCTTGTAACCACTGCATACTAGTGGCATTCATACCTTGCTTGCTTGATAAAAAAAAAAAAAAAAGCATATGATTTTTAACCTCTCCAGAAAAAAAATTACCTGTGTACAGTGCAACCAGTCACTGAAAGTGCATGATTTTTAACCTCTTCAAAAGAGTTATGCGTGTATAGTGCATAAAAAAACTGATCATAAAACTATACTCAAGTATATACTGTATATGATAGAAAATTAGAACAGAAGAAAAAGCTTTTTTTTTTTTTTTTTTTTTTTACATACAGTCCGTAAAGTGTTCATATATAAGTCACAGTATGTTTCAGAAACTATCTTTGTTCATTAAGCAACACCATATGAAACAAGATTTATCTCCCTTCATCTCTGAGGTTTACGCACCAGTTGAGTCCATTCTCTAGATAAGTATTATAGGAGAAATAAACAAATGACACATAAGGTGAATATATAAGATATCCCACATGGAAAGCAAAAAGAGAACAATCTACCTCTGGGGATTGAATAAAGAGTTTAGTCCAAAATTTTAAAAAAGGTTAACAGGTACAACAGACATGTTGAAGAGGGAAGACCGGTCCCAAAATTTTGGGTGTAACAGCAAAGATGAATATATAAGCCAAAGGTCAAATGTATACATAATTCCCCATCTCAAAAATTCCAATATAAAAAAAAAAAGAAAAAAAAGTCACTTACTGTCATCATGAGTAAAAAGGTGAGATTTTGCCTCTGCAACCAAATCACTACCAAGCAGAGCTTTAAGAAGTTCATCCATGATTTTATCAACATTGGTTTCATTCAAGTCTAAAAGAAGAACCGATTGATTGATAAATCTCTGAATGTCCATGGACCCACGAACCTCGGTGGCAAAGTCTTTGGGCAAAACTTTCTGTCAAGGCAAGAAAAAGATAAAATGAAATGCCTTAATTTATTGTTTTTTAAAAACAGAATATTGAGTTAACACAGCACAAAGGAAATGTTTCATTCTTGCAGACTTCTTGGGGAGCATGGGAATAGTCAAAACTAAGATTAAGACTAATAGCTGTTTGTAACATTTAATATTGCAAAATGCTAAGTTGGGGTTATATAAAGAGTGAGGTGTTGAATTGAAACTAACAGAAGGGACGAAAGGGGAGTTTATTTATAACCAAAACCTTTAATTATATATAGAAAGAAATTAGGTTCCCGCTAGGGAATACCAAATTGTACTAAAAACAAATAAGATTAACAATATTTAGACAATATAAAGGAAAAATTTATTTAAAGGTTTTAATTTTAAGGATAGGTTAAATTATTAGGAAGCCCAAGTTAAACAATACTATATAAAATAGCTACAAATAACAGCATTCAAATTCACAATTATTTCTACTCAACAGCCCTTAGAATAATTTTAAACTGTTACTGCTCCCCAATTAGAATAATACAATAGACCTACCCATAATGCACCAGCATATATAACGGAGTCAAAACAACACACATGGCCTTAAGATTGCGTTTAAGCATGAAACAGATTATCACTGCTGGAAGTTATCCTCAAGGTCCACTTTTATTCTACTTACATCATGTCTTGAATAAATTATGGTTGGTTCTCCATTTCCTTCTTCGCTATCTGTAAAGAGAGGAAGAACAAAAAAAAAAAAAGAAAGTGTTAAGTATTTTTTTTTTTTTAAACAAGTCAGAATATTTAGAAATAAATTGAATATATACAAAGGGTTACTAAAATGTTTTTCAACTAACCAAGAGACTAAAAAAAAAAAAAAAAAAAAAGTAAATTTTCAGCACCTCCATATGCAAATAAATGCACATACATCGGTAGTCCTGGAAGGTGAGTGTGGCGATCTACTCTTTACAAGTTGTTTTTTTGGTGGCTGAGGAGCAGCATTTAAGTGAATTGGTATAATAAAGTAGACGTTGTCCAGTTTTGAGAATGTTCAACAAATTCTACAACTACAGAAAAACAAAAACGCTAAGTTTGTCACTTCAGTGTGTGTATTAAATAAAATGTATATTTTGGCAGCTGTTTTTTCTTTAAGTTGGTTTTGTTAAAGATCACAATGTCTGTTTTAATAATTTCTTAAACACATTAATCCAAGACAAGAGAAAGTGAGTGAAAAAAAAAATTATTCATACATGTCTTTAGCACTTTCAACCATCATTAATCATTTTCAAAAAAGTTAATTGTTATAACTTCAAAATTCAATAAAAGTTTAATATATTTGCTTTTTTTATTTTTAACCACAATAAAAATATATATATATATATATATATATATATATATATATATATATATATATATATATAATAATGAAACGGACAAAGTCCAACAATTATTTTAAGACATTTTTTTTTATGTTTATACATTCTTTTTATAGATAAAAATATTTAAGTAAATGCTGTTTATTAACAGTACTAACAACATTTACCGGCCTGAATGTCAGAGAAATTTTCATAGAAAATATGTGTTCTCCGACAGGAATTGAACCTGTATCCTATATGGAACCGTCATATAGCATGACGTGATTTTACTGATCGAGTCACAGAGGAGCGTTTCGCTTAGCAAGGTCAATTTCAATGTTTTTAAATTACAATTCTCCATGATTTTCTCTCATACATTCATATCTGCTTGATGCGCATCCAAATGTAAACAAATGACGTCACACATTATGAAATGGACAAAGTCCGACAATTATTTTAAGACATCCAGCATGAAACAGCCTATTGCCTCTGAGTGTTGACTTCAATGTTCACTTTTTATATATTTTAAATAAAAACAGACTACCTTAAGGTTCCATGTGATAATTTATTTCACCAGAGCCCTTTTAAAGATAGCACTTCCAAAAATTAAATGAAACAAAAAATGAAATTAAAATTGATGGGTAGTGTAAGTTTTTGTAATTTAACAGTGTAAAAGGAGTAGTTAAAGAGACATGGTAGAGTATAGGGAGGGATTAATTTCATATCTCTTTCAAGCATACTCTGTATTGGAGGAGGAGGAGTGACCAGACCATGACCTATTTAGACGGTTAACTTAACGGAAGTGATATATTGAAATGGGAGGGAAAAGAAAAGAAAAGGAAAAAAAAAGAAAAAGGAAAAGAAAAGGAAAAGAAAGAGGAAAAGGAAAAGAAAGAGGAAAAAGAAAAAGAAAGAGGAAAAGGAAAAGAAAGAGGAAAAGGAAAAAAAAAGAAAAAGGAAAAGAAAAGGAAAAAGAAAGAGGAAAAAGGAAAAAGAAAGAGGAAAAAGAAAAAAAAGAAAAAGGAAAAAGGAAAAAAAGAGGAAAAGGAAAAGAAAAGAAAAGGAAAAGGAAAAGAAAAGGAAAAGGAAAAGAAGGAAAAGGAAAAGAAAGAGGGAAAAAGGAAAAAGAAAGAGGAAAAAGGAAAAAGAAAGAGGAAAAAGGAAAAAGAAAGAGGAAAAAGGAAAAAGAAAGAGGAAAAAGGAAAAAGAAAGAGGAAAAAGGAAAAAGAAAGAGGAAAAAGGAAAAAGAAAGAGGAAAAAGGAAAAAGAAAGAAGAGGGAGAGTGAAGTAAAGAGAAAGAGGCTGTAATTGGGTTTTAGCAATTTATGTAAAGAATAGATTTTAATGCTCGATAGTAATTTAGATGTCTAAAAAAAAAATCCAAACAAATTAATATGATGCTTGCTATAATATATATATATATATATATATATATATATATATATATATATATATACACACAAGTTATAATGAAAGTCATAAAAACCTTGATAACTAATTGACTTTGACAGAATTTCTTCAAGTTTTAACGATTAATTTAGACATCAAACAAAGCTAGAGTTAAAATTTACGTAAGCTTTAACGTTTTATTCAAGTTATTGGTTTTATAAAAAGTGGAGTCTGAAGTTATTATGCAAAATTTAGAAAATCACTTCTTTCTTCAATAATAGCATAATATCAATGAATGTGTAACACGTATAATAGATCAAATAACAAACATAAGTCTTTGAAGCATTTACATCTTAATATAGTTACACTTGACAATAAAAGCCAACAATCTATTGATTTTGTTACATTTTTTTTTTTTTTTTTACTTTAGCAGGTTCAATTTCCGACATGGTGGTAGTAATTGCATCCCATTGGTCTGCTTTGTAGTCATATTTTTTTGCCACATTCATATCTTCACAATTAATCATAGATTTTTGTTTGGATTCAGATTGAAACTAGATGCTGGCCATTCCATTATCTTCTCTCCTGTATACCTTTTATGCTCAAAAACTTCACCGGTAACATGACATGTGATACGCGAGAAGGAGTATTGGTATAAATACACACTTCCCTTTGAAACAGTGAGGCTAGGACTTAGATCATTCAAAGAAAGTCTTGTCCATGAAATCACAATAGTTAACACTGTTCAAGTTAACTCCTTCATTGACTGAATTGTTTAATAATAGTTTGGCTGATAATTCCTGTTTTAAGCTTCATTCTACCATTGATAACAGTACTTTTCTGCCTACATGGCTGATGCAAGACTCCAGGAAAGCCACACACAGTAGATTTTTGGCCTCGTATTTTATACTGACTTGAAGTGGAGTGACTTCATTGAATCAATAGCTGTGTCTATGGCAAGCAAAGTTGGGTCATTGTGTTGCCCCAGAAAACTTTTCTCCTTAGAATCCATCTTGCACATCTATCACCCATGTATTGAATACTGCTGCCATATCTGGTCTGGTGCTCCTTCTGTACATCTTGCAAATCTTGAAAATATCCAAAGGAGGATCTATAATATAAATGGTGCTGAACTGGCATCTCAGCTTCAGTCACTTTCTCAATGATGTGGCATGGCTTTCCTCTGCCTTTTCTACAAATGTTTTCATGGCAACTGCTCTGACAAATTTTTTTCCCCCCTGGTGCCTTGACTAGATGAATTTAAGTGTACTACTAGATTGGCATCTAGGTCCCACCCTTTTAATGTTGAAATAGTTAAATGTAACTGCCACTTCTACTCCAACAGTTTTTCTCACATTTCCCACCTGTGGAACACCCTTCCATTTCCTTGCATCCCTGATAACTACAATTTTCAAAAATTTAAATACAACACCAATCTCCATTTTCTGTTTTCTTGAATTCTCTTTTGTTGTTTCCTCAATCCTCCCTATCCTCAGTCTTTCACTTACATTCCCTTTAACCTACAAAGTACTAGTGGCATTCATACCTTGCTTGGAGTGAAATAATTAAAGAAAAAAAAAAAAAGAAAAAGTAGAATGAGCTGGCAAGACTGTCATTCAGAATGTTCTATTGTCTAGGAGTGAACTGGTCATTACTAGTTTAATTTGAATGTTACAAGCCAGTCCCCACTCCCTATTGAGCTGTTACAGCCAAATCAGTCGAGAGATCAGCTGCCAGCTTCTGGTGATCTAGGTTTTTGGGAGGTGCACTCATAAACCATGGCATCATCTGCATAAACATTTACTAGCAAATCATCATATATTTAAAGTAGAAAGAGTCAAGGTATTTCAGACACAACCCAATGGTGCTGTACATTGGGATTGTCTCTCCAGGTTGATATTATCAAAAAGTAACCTCCTTGACAAATTGATCAGGGTGAAATTGATCAGGGTGAGAGTTGAACCTGCGTCTCATGGTTGAAATGCTAACATCCTCACCACTCAGCCACACACCCATAATAGGTCAACAGTGAAATTAAATCTAACACACAGTCAAAAAGAAAATATCAACAGAGCTGAAGCCTATTGAGAAGATATTTACAAACCTTAGTGAGGTACAAGGCCAAAATATTAGAGAAACTAATATTTTTCTAAAGATGGAGGCCAAGAACATCATGGACCAAACATGTAAGCAATGTTAAAATTTTAGAGAAAATGGAAACAAAATTTCTAGAGCACATAATGAGGAAAGATACATTTGATACTCACAGGACAGATTGAAGGCAAGTGTGTCCGAGAAAAACAATGCTTAATTTACGTAGCAAGCTTGAGTAAATGGATGGACGAACAGGGTTTAAGAGTGATAACAAAAGGCCAAAATTTATTAATAACTACAATAGTCAGGAAATTGAGGAGAATCATGATCACCAAAGAGACATGGCACACAGAAAAAGAATTAGGATTTAATGCACAATGGTTTGTTAATCCTTTCTATTAATACTTAGTGTTTTATTTCATAGCATCAACCAACTCAAATTCTAAATTTTTCACAATTTATCAGTACCTTGTTAAAATTCTACATTGTTTTTTTCTCTCTCTCTTTGACAAGATATTCAGTTTTTTTAAAAGCCAGTCAAGTAATCTAGATAGTAAATGTTTACACACACACTTCTCTGTAAGAAGAATGAAGAGACAATCTGTGGGTGGTAATTCTCAGTGCCATATGATAATTGTAAATTCCTAGCTGAAATGTAAATATCTCAAAGACTACATGATATAGTAATTTTAATTTCATTGGTTAGAGAGTTAGAATGAAAACAAGTACAGTAATAAAATGCTGTTTCATTGGATATAAACATAGAAATTTTAGTTCAGAATCTATTTTTGAAATTGAAAAGTAATTAAAAATCAATATTAGCTACAAAGTCTTTAAGAAAGCCACAAAATCAAAAAGATGTTTTAAATATGGTTCTAACAAGAACTTTCCACTTTTGTAACGCATCACTCCGCACGTGGCGATCCTTCCTCTTTCGTAACGCATCACTCCGCACGTGGCGATCCTTCCTCTTTCGTAACGCATCACTCCGCACGTGGCGATCCTTCCTCTTTCGTAACGCATCACTCCGCACGTGGCGATCCTTCCTCTTCAGAACGCATCGGGCGATCCTTCCTCTTCGTAAGACGTGGCGATCCTTCCTCTTTCGTAATGTAACGCATCACACCTCACCCAAAGATTCTTCCTCTTTCACAGCACATCATTTTTCTTTCCGTATAATTTTTGCCTATTCTTCTTTGTATTATATCAAGGAGCTCAAGGTAAATAGCTGGGGTACCAGACAATATGTGTAAGCAATATTCTATTATTGCATTCAAGAATAACTTCTGCTTTAAAATCATTAAAAGTAAAAATACCCCCCACCCCAAAAAAACAACCCTTACATAACTGACACTACCAAAGACCGATGGCATATTAAAGTAAATTTGCAATTGCATTTGTTATATTTTCAGCATGAGTAATTTCAAGGTTTCATCTCTATAATTAACTCTATTGTTACATGTAAGAAAGAATTCTGATTTGTAAATCCATAAAAAGGATAATATGGAACATATTAGTAGCCTGGTCATCCTTACTCACTAATGGGATATTAGTGTCAAGTAATGCTTCCTGTAAGGTGAGATCAGGTTGGGTAACATTCTATTTTATGTTATAAAATCCTTTTAGGATCTATTTTTCAATCTATCAGTGGGAAATATCCATGCTATTCTTGCTTCTAATTCTTATCTCTGAATTCATGATCATGATATTTGTGGGGAGAAAATTATTGCCTACTAGCAGTAGAGCCTGGCGTTGCCAGGGGGTGGAAAAGTAAGAGATGGATCAAGTATCAACCATCATAAAGACTGAAAAATAAAATTGACAAAGATTATTGTTTAAGGTTGACGGACACGCATGTCTTAATTAGTTTTTTTTTTTACGAATTGGTCAAACCCAAACTCAAACAAAAACATTGTTTACAATCGTTATGAGGCTATCGATTGGTGAATAGAATTTTATTATAAACAATTGTCTTGTAAATGGAATTTTTAAAGCATTCTGAATGTAAATAAAGAAAAAAGTGTGCAAGACAATAAGAAATACTACCTGCCAAAAAAAAAAAAAAAAAAAAAGTGGATGTTTGTTTTATCGGCTGAAAAATGTAAGAAATCCGATCCCATATATAAAGGAACACACACACACAACCTGGGTTTTTTACCTAAGTCACTCCACGGAATCGCTAAAACAGAGCATGGTCTGACGAAAAAGACGCTAAAGTTTATGAAAACAAAATTTTATCGTCAAAATGCTTGTTTTTATGAAGAGGATAGACTAAATTTTTTTTTAATTATTTTTTAAAATTTTTCCATCTTTTTAGACTATTCTAAATTTTGATTTAAAAAACCTTGTTTCTCTTTGTCGCAACAAGGGGTAGTAAATAACAGATAATTTTTAGCGCATTTTTTTGTATTTACACACATTAATTTGGAAAATCTTGCAAAAATAAAAATAATTGTCAGATGTTAATGAAACTTTCAGAAACTATTCAGATGATCGAAATTATTATATATGTTTTTTTTTTTTTTTATTAAAGTCATGGCAGAAATATTTTTTTATATTTATTAACACCCCCATAACTAATTTTATGAAAAACTCTAGAAATTCGAGACCATCGGTTTTATTGATTACAATAGTTAAAAGCACAAGGCTTTGAAGAATGCAAATCATGTATTTTTTTTTTTTTTTTGGCCAACGTACCTGAAAATCAGCTGTGAATTGTAACATACAAAACTCAATAAAACAAATATATTATTTAGTTTCAAATGCTTTTATTTGTTTTAATTTGTTTTTATAAATATGGACAATATTTTCTGGAAGCCAAAAATTTTTTCAATGAAAATTGAATTTTTAATACAATTATTTCTTATTTCTTTAATTTTAAAAAGATTTTTAAAAAATGTTTAAATTGAATTTTAAAAAATATTTTAACATTAGTTAAATGCAACATCAACCTTTCAAAATGTCCGTGTGAGATTGTCATTGTCTAGCGCTTTGAAAATTGTATAATTTGGACCAATCAGATTAGCCATGGTAATTAAGAAATGTAATTTTGTGTTTATAGTCGGACAGTAATTATCAAGTACGGAAGACCAACCAGAATACAATTTAGTTGCATTATTTGAGTTCAGCATTGTTCTCCGCTGTTAAGCCCTTTACTTTTTGTGAAACACGTATGGAGAAGTTAATTTGAGTTTTCAATTTCAACTGAGAAGGGTACCTACAAGTAACAGTATCATCTTATGAAATTTAACTACTGCTAAACTTTAATTTATATGATCTTATTTTTTATATTAATCTCAGTTATGACATTTTTTCCATAAATGAAATATCAAAATTAATAATAAAATGAATGGAAATACAAATAACACAGTAAATGTAATAAATGTACATAAAATTATAGTATTTTATGTACACTTTGATAAAATTTCATAAGGTACCTAAATTAATTAGATAATTTTTTCTTATGAAATTTAATCTCACCATTAACAGTCTTATTTTTTAATTTCTTTATATTTTCCATAAAGCATCGTAAACG